CCTTGAAATGGTAGTTAAGGCTACCTTTAATAAATGTCAGAATAATATAAGGAGTTAAGGGTGTACTCAAAGAATGAGTTAATATTCTCATCGAAGCTAATAGGGTGGAAACCTTAAATGTCTCAAAGGATGATGCTTTGAGGTCAAGTTGGTAACTTTATAAGAACCAAAAAAAACCCAATGATGCTTTATTTCGTTAAAGTGGGACTTTTCATTATCCCACTTATGGTGTGTGGCCACATGCCATTTTTATAACAACAATAAAAAATTGAAGTTTTAACTTTATAATTTATAAATTAAAAACTTTTCATATGATTTTGTGTTATAATATTGTGAAATATAAAAAATTAAATTAAAAAACTGATAGAAATATTAATAAATATTAATTAAGTACTAGGAAATGGCATGTGGACACATGCTAATTAATGTCCCACTTTACTGAATAAGTCCCACTTTAACGAAATAAAGCATAATGGAAATGGAGTTAGAATATCTTGGATATAATTAGATTTATGTGCTTGTACCAAATATTAATGGAGATGTGGAAGTACTGATAATGAGTTGTAAAACATAATAACTATGAAGCAACTAAATAAAAGTTTAGAATAATTTGTTAGAATAGTGGAAACTAACTTCCTAAGAGTTCTTAGTTAGATAAGGAGGTTAAATACATCTCTTAAAGGATGTTGTGTTTATGTTAAGATATAATGGGTTAGTATTAATAGGAAATGTTTATTATATGGGAAGTCCATAGAAACATATAAGCACCTTAAAAATGCTAAAGAGGTGGTGTTTGGGTATTATGGGGGTAATAGATAAGGCTCAAGAGATTACGTCTTTAAAGAAAAATGGATAGAAGATGCTATATAATATCCAAGGTTGATAAAAACTAGAGATGGGGTAATTTTGACTATCCAAAGTGGATAAAACCAAAAAGATTTTGGCATAGATAGTAATAGGTATAGTGAAGCTCATGAGTAGTGACGTGAATCTTGGTGCATGGGATTACAAGGTGAGCATATTTAAATTGAAGAACCACTCTTTAGGGAATTGAGTAAATTCATTCATAAAAATACTTGCTAATGCATAGTAAAAAGTGCAAAATTGCCCTAATAGTTTAGAGGAGAATAACTAAAGAGATTGTGTAAGGCAAAAAATAAATAATAAAGGGATAGAACCAAACCATAAAAATCGAAAGGTATAGCCAAGAATAGTTATGTAAATTGGGAATGGAAAATTAAATGGGTGGTTGAAGGTGTTATTACTAATAATTGTGGTGCTATGGTGACTTTAAAATATAGAATTACCTATGTTAAACCATATGACAATTAAAAAGTTTGCGAAAGGAGAAACTTTAGCAATCTAAAAGATAGAGTTCCTTTAATATTCCTAAAGACAATTTTAAGTGGATTAGTATCTAGAAAGACAAATATAAATGGTTCATAGGAATGCACAAAATCAAAATGGTGCAGTAGAAGCATGGCTTTGAAGCTTGCCATGAGGTGAAGCTATCAAGATTAAGGAAATAATTCTTGAGTGTTCAAAAAGATTGTTATGAATGAAAGTTGATATTTGAGGACTTTCACACTTATGTATAAAATCATGTTATGCTAGTTAGGTGACTTTCTAAGCGAAATTGGCAAATTGAAGGAATAATATTAACTTCAAAAGGGGTGGCCCATGGGGCTAAATATGGAGGAGTCTATGTATAATCACAAGTTAATCAACTAATTTGATTTTGAAGCTTAAAAGAACTAGGTTTCTAAATAGTGATTTATAGTAAATTAGACCTGCCAGATGTCAATCAACATGTGGTGTGATTCCCTTAAGCCAACCAATAGAGTCGGACCCAAGACTGCTCTGATACCAAATGTAAACTCCTGAGTTTAGACTTCCTAAGAGGTCACCTAGCGCAATATTATTCAGTTTAACCCCAAATATCCCAAAACCCTTAACCGATTGGAAAACTTTTATTCATGGCCCCTTTCTCTTTATATTTGAACATTTATGGATCGTCTCTCAAGTCGTTCCTTTTGGTTGCTTACAATATTGAGTATAAATTAGTGTATTGGCGTGGGGAGTCACACAAGGCATCATAAATGATGCTGTCTATAGATGCATATACAAAAGTTGAGTTTGAGTCCTAACTTTCTAGTGCTTGGGTTCAAGTCCCAACCTGCTAATGCATAGTGATGGTTTGGAGTATAAAGATATTTATATTTCGATAGTTATGGACTCTTAGTAAGAAGGTTGGCTTGGGCACACCACCAAGTGGGGGATGCCTCAGACTCGTAATGCACAGTTAGAGTGTTTAGTATGAAAATCTAGTATATTTGTAAGCCATAAATTTTTCTTTTTCAATTTGTCAGCTTACCTTGCCTATCCAACCACCACTATCTTATCCTTAATTAAGTTCCCTTGCCAAGGTTCCTACATATTGTACCACCTTCTACTTGGTCTTACTTAGTTTCAATGACTCACTATATAGGGAATGAAGTGTTACTCATTCGTTCATGGATTACCAAATTCTATCACAATCCCCCTCCTTGGGTTGGAGTGGACTTAAAGTTCAATTACACTCTTTGAATGCACAAGCAGCCAAATACAACAAGTCTTTAAATTTCTAATATCCTAGTACAACAAGACTTGATCATAAGACCTTCTAATTCCCAAGCCTTGGGTGCATCACTTATTTTGAGACACCAGGGGGAAAAACCATGGTGTAAAGGCTTGGTATAAGTACCTTTACTCCCCCATTTCCCTCTCGAAAGGAAGGCCCAAGCTCGTAGAAAGGAACAAAGATCAATAAGTTGCAAGGTACTCAAATAGGGCACCACTCCATATTAGCTAAGAACACCACAAATAGTTTCCCTTTTGGGAGTGGGAGCTACTCTTAAGCACTTCCTCAGGTGGCCTCTCTAACACCACCTAACTCCATGCTCACTCCCACTTGAGGCCCCTAACTTTGAATTTTAACCTCAAGTCAATTTAGAAGTACCATTAAAGAGTTCCTTCAAGACTAATTCTTGGATCTCATTATTCTTACTATACTTTTGGAACCCCCTACAGCCCCGCTTTGAACTTTCACCTCACGACTTGTATTAGTATTTGGATTTGATTTTAGACTTGATCTCGAACTTGGCTTCAAACTTGGTCTCGAACTCCATCTCGGACCCAACCTAGGACTCGGTTTCGGATTTGATCTCGGACTTGGTCTCAGACTTGATCTTGGATCTCAGATCTCGGACTCAGTCTTGAAGTTGGTTTCGAACTCGATCTTGGACTCACTCTCAAACTCAGTCTTAAAGTAGATCTTGGACTCAATCTTAGACTTGGTCTCATTCAATAAACTCTTTATCATTTTAGTCATGGTTTTAGGGATCCTTTAACTTACAACACCTTGGGGAGTTGATTTTTTACAATATCTAACTTAAACACTTTACTACAAATGGCACTGAAGATATGGTGAATGAGATAAAGACACTTAATCTCGGTTGTTATAAACCCTTGGTCAAAAAGGCTAGCTTGAACACACTATCAAGTATGGGAGATGCTTTCGAAGTTATGGTCAATAATTTAAATGTCTGATAGACTTAATATCTATAGTTAGATTTGTTTATCCATAAGATGTAGAGCTAGTATTTACAAATGACTTTTTGTTTTAGTATTTACATTTTTAGTAATGATATCTTTTGTTTTATAGGGAATAATTTAGATGATTATCTATCTATTGATCTTCATTCTACACTTTAATTAGTATGACTCTTTTATTTTAGGTAGGCATAGGGACATTGTTGTGTCTGAAGAAATGACAAATTATCATTTCAATATCAATACTAAAATTATATATAATTTACAATTTTTTATGAGTTATTAACCATTTATTTGTGAATGATAATCACTTGCAAAAATATGCTATATCCCAATCTAAGATGTCAAAATATAAAATGCCTCAACCATAAATATAGAACCATTATCCGAAAGAATTGAAATACCATTTAATTGAGAATAAAACATCAAACATAATAACCACTAAGAACACAAAATCCTTAGCTAAAAAATCCATTGATGGTAGTGGAAAGATATTTCATTTCCTTGCTTCAAAAAAGGGTATAAAGGTAGTGACCCTACTCTCTCTCCTCTTTTTTATATCACCATATATGTCCATCCTTACATTTATACCATACCAGTTTGGCAACTCACTGGGGCACATATGTCCTGTATGCAAAATGAAGGATGTCATCCACAAATGAAAATGTCAATAATAAAGAAGAATCCATTTTCCAAAAATGTATATCTAAATGAAGATTAAATCTAGAAATCTGTATGTCTCAAGCTCCAAAACAAAAATGCAAAGAAAAACAAACATACATCACTACTCACAAAAAGAAATGCAAATTGCTATGAGTTGAGTTGAAAAGTATCTTTGAAATGCACTAACAAAAGCATTAAGGTAATGCCATCAACTCAAACAAAGGAAAAAATTACAATTGATTCTAACTATTCTTTTGCAGTAAAAGAAGGGGTATTATGAGATTAGCATTAAATGCATCTATACACATTTATTGCATCTTTGGTCAATAGAAAAATGTACATAACTTTTTAATTTTATATATATATCATAAAGGCATAGAGTTTATTAGTGTAAACCCTTATACTCATGATGCAATATTGCTAATAGTCATGAACTACCATTATTAAATTTAATGATTTTAAGTATATATGAAGATTTTAACTTTATGCCCTAAAGGTAGGATTTAGGGTTTACATTTGGCTATGGCGGATCAGCTGCCAAGGCGAGAGGCGGTGGTGCTGCGCGGCCACGAAGGTCCGGTTCTGGCAGTACGATTCAACTCCGACGGTAATTACTGCATTAGCTGCGGTCGCGATCGCGTCCTCTGCCTCTGGAATCCACAGAAGGGATTGCGGATCAAGAGCTACAATGCGCACGCCCGGGAGGTTCGCGATGTGGCCGTCGTCGCCGATAATTCCAAGTTCTGCTCTTGCGGCGCGGATCGTCAGCTCTTCTACTGGGATGTTCCCACCGGACGCGTGATTCGTAAATTCCGTGGCCACGACAGTGAGGTACTGAAAAGGAGGAAACCTTTTTTTGGGGGTTGATCTAGCTCATGAAACAGTGGTGTAGGTGAATACCGTGAAGTTTAGTGAGAACTCGACGGTGATTGTCTCTGGAGGATATGATCGATCGGTGCGAGCGTTTGATTGTCGATCTCACAGCATAGAACCGATCCAGGTAAATTGTATTTCTTTTTTTTTCTTCTCTTTTTCTTCGAGAAGGCAACTAAGGTATCACTCTCAGGTGATTGAGGCATTTTCAGACAGTGTGACTTCCCTGTGTATGACAAGGACGGAAATTATCGCTGGAAGTGTGGATGGATCCATTCGAACTTTTGATATCCGTGCTGGAAGGTACTGCTCGTTACCTTGCAAAAAGGATTCTGGCTCACTTTCTTTGGTTTTGTCTTTGTGATCAGAGTGTATAGAGATGATCTTGGTCATCCAATAAATAGCGTCACCCTCTCGCACGATGGAAAATGCACCTTGGCTGGATGTTTGGATTCAACACTTCGTCTGATTGACAGGTAGCTTACAAACTCCTTTTTTGTTGTAATCTCTCCTTGCTTTTTTCACAGAGAAACTGGTGATTTGCTTCAAGAGTACAAAGGACACATCAACAAGGTAGGCACTACACAAATCTCTCCTCGCTCTTTAACATTCCAGTTCGTTTCTCTGCGCAGTCCTACAAAACTGATAGTTGCTTGACAAACACCGACGCTCATGTTGTTGGTAGCTCCGAGGACGGTCGCATTTACTACTGGGATCTCGTGGATTCATCCGTAGTGTCGAGTTTCAAAGCGCACGCTTCAGCAGTAAGCAAAACTGGAAATTCTATCCTTTTTCTCTCGTGTTCTTGACACACAGTCTTTCGCCTTCCAGGTAACGAGCATTGCGTATCACAAAACCGAGCCAATGCTCGTCACGTCCTCCATCGATGGGACTGTTCGTGTGTGGACGCCATAGCGAGCGCTCCAGTCGTGAAAAACTGGATTTTTACAGGACATTTTTTCTCAAATGTAAACTTTTTGTTTTACTACACGTCCCTTGTTCGAATCCTGGGGTTTCTGGCATGGGGTTTAGGGTTTAGGGCTTTAGATGTTGAGGCGCGCATTGTGGAGCGCCTGGCGATGGCGCTCCGGCGGGCCGGCGTTTCCTCGCGATGCGGCAACGCGATCGATCGATTCACATCGGAATCCGCTCACGAGGTAATAGCTGAGCTCCTGCATTGTTCTTGGATCGAGTTTCACCCTCGCAGGAGCTTCGAAATATTTCAAGTCCGGGGCTTCGGCGTCGCCAATGTGTGGATCGATCGGGAGACGGCCGCTGCTCGAGCTGCGCAGCGGACGCTAAGGCCGAGAAGGCACAAGGTCAAGCCTGCCGAGGGCGAGGAGAAGCCAGCAGCACGACCGGCGCCACGGAAGAGCATCGGGCTTTCGAGGGAGTCTCGGCGATTGTTAAGGAAAGGTGAGCGCATGAGAACTTGGAAGGATGGAACTCCCCGTCCGCCTGGGCCGGAGGGATCGCTGCGAATGCTGGATTCTGGCAAGCTTCTCGGGAGAGACAGGAAAACCATGGTACAAAAGTATGGCACGCCCAAGAGAATTCCACGAAAGATCAGGCTGGAAAAGCTGGAGGAACGTCGTCAAAGGAAGGAGTTGAAGATGAAGCTAGCTCTAAATCCCGAGCTCAAGGAAGAGCTGTTAAAGAAGAGTCTTCCGACCGACTCGGGTGCTGTCCGAAGGCTTCGCGAAAAGTCAGAGAGTTTTTCAAGGATGAACAAGATGGAGAAGAGAAGGGACGTCGAGGAGAAAGAGGCCGCCGTGTACTTCTCTCAGCCTTTAAAGTGCGATCAAAAGAAGGTGGCGACGGTTTATGGGGATATAGACGTGACTGCTGCAGCGAAGTATAAGGAGTGGAAGGCTCAGAAGAAGGAACAAATTGCTTCGAAGACTTTGCAAATCGAAGCTGGCGATGGCTCTAGACCGGCTGGTGGTGATGATGCTCTTGCGAGGTTGCGTAAGAAGGCTCTTAAAGTTAAACGCGAGGCAGAGAACCAAAAACTTTTGCCCGCCAGAAACAAGGAAGACCTTGTGGAAGATGATGGCAATGCCCAGGAAATTCGAGAGAAGGCCAAGAAGATGATCGAGGAAGGAAAGGAGCTGTTGAAGCTAGTGGATGAAGAGTACCACGAGTCGAGCATCGTGTTGGAGGAGGAAGAGGTTGAAGGAGCAAAGAGAAAATTGACTCGCGGGCTTATTTTGGAGAACGAGGCGAATAGAAAAAGAAGTGATCGACATACAGCGACAGCCGGCACAAGCGGAAGTAAATCAGAGTCGTCCGAGAACCCAAAGGCCGAGACCGAAACCGAGAAATACTTGCGCAAGAGCAGCCAATTAAGTGAGGAAAGCAAGGCCAATATTTTGGACATTGGCAAGCCTGCAGCTTCCGCAGAGATCAAAGGTAGAAAGGCTCTCACTTCGTTCACATTTTACTTCTGAGTAATGTTTTGCAGTCGATCTGATGAGCGACGAGGAAACTTTCAGTGATGAAGAGAAGAAGGAAAAGCTGACGTGGGGCTTGGATTCGACCAGGCCAATGGATGGCACCGACGAAGGTATGCTATAAGTATTTTATTGTCGAGGTCTTCTTACAAGTTGTTACCAGGTCGTAAACTGTCGAGAGTTTTGGGTACCAACATGTTGCTAGGCTTTCCGAGACTTACGAAGGCAAAGAAAACTCGGCCAGCACGTACTACAACTCGTCCAGACGAGGAAGATATAGTCCTAAGTCCACAGGTGGATGAAACTCATAGTAATATTATCACTCCAACGCTTTATCAACCCGAAGAAAGGGGCCTGTCCCTGGAAAGGCAAATCATAGGTCTGGACGTTTGTCTACATTATCATTCTTTTTTCACGTCTTGTCGTTGCAGAGAAAACTCTGGAGGAGTACCACATGATACTTCAGTCTGAGCGGGCTACTCCCCGGAAAAAGCCATGGATCAGGAGAGTACTGAAGATCGACAAGGACGACATTACTGCTAAACGTTACGAAACCCCTGAGGAAAGGAAGGCGTCAGGTAGCCTCTCTAGTCTTCTCTCTGATTACTTATAAGACGCTGCGTTTCAGGTAAAGTAGAACCGAAAGAGCTCGGTACCAATGCAAGATTTCGAATGATACAACCGTCTCGGGAGCTCATGCGCTACATAGATTCACAAGTATGATCCTGTCCTTTATAATGTGAAACTGACACTTGGAATAGCTGCTGGGCAAGAGGAGACTCGACGAATGGCGGAAAGCTGGCTACAATGTTAAACTTTATTCTCCACTCGACAATGTGCCATTCTACAAAGGCGAAAAGAAATACAGAATCCATCAGAGTGTAGGTTCGTTTAACTCTAGACCTTAAGTTTCTTGTGAAAAGCATGTTGGTCTGACGGATGCGGTGCAGATTTTTAGAAACAAGCAAGTATTCGTGGCTGGAGCTAAAGTTTTATCGTCAATACCACCAGCCGAGCTGCCAGAAATCGCATTTGCAGGTTATCTCTGTCTGCTGCTTTACAGCTCACAGCTTTTTCTTTTCTTCTTTTTTATTCCAGGCAGAACAAATTCTGGGAAATCCAAGTTAATAAATGCATTGACTAGACAATATGGAAGAGCTCGAACTTCGCCAAAGCCTGGGAAAACGGATGTAAGTGTCCATCGCTTTCCTGTTCGATCCTCAAAACTTTGGTCCTTTTCGTTTGTAGTCCATCAATTTTTACGTTCTTGGTGAGAAGTTATGTCTGGTCGACATGCCTGGCTACAGCTTCATGTATGGCAAACAGGACCAAATCCAAGATCTTCGTCAACTGGTAAGCCCTTGGCTTAAGTTGATACGCTCGTGACAGATATTCTTCGTTTCCAGAATATGGATTACATTACTGTCAGGGATCATCTGAAGAGAGTCTGCCTTCTGATAGACGCGGAATGGGGGATAAGACAGAAGGACCAAGAGTTTATTGATTTTCTTGAATCGTAAGAACTTCACATCAGCTTCTTCAGCTTGTGCCTGACCAACTTCTTTCCAGGGTCAATCGGAAATACCAAATAGTACTGACTAAAACTGACAAAGTTTTGCCTCTGGATCTCGGCCGAAGAGTCACACAGATTGAGGAGGCACGCATTTTTTCTTTTCTCTCGGTAATGGCAATGGACTGATGCTTGTTTTCCAGGTTATCAAGGACTGCAAGTACCACGTTTCACCAGTGGTACGTATCCATCTTAACGGGGGTTGGATCACTGACTTACTCGCATTGCAGATGATGGTGAGCGCCAAGTCTGGAGCTGGAATAGGAAAATTCCGCATGGCTCTCGCCAGTCTACTCTAGGAGGTTAGCTAAGAACTTACCTCGTTTTGCCACTTCAAACAAACACGACTCTTTACATCACTCACTCAGTCCTCGTCTCGCTTATCAGTCTTGAGCTGCGCCGGCCTCCGTGGCCTCTTGAAGTTGAGCAATCTCTTCTTCTGGTCCTTGATGCTCTTGATCTTCCCGGCACCCCTGGTACGTTCCTCAAACGTGACAGCGCTAATCGTCACAGCTCCCTTACGCTTCTTCATTGCTATAGGCGGAGGCCCACAGTCGCTCTTCTTCCGGAAAGTCGGGATGCACTCGAAGGGATTGACGTTGTCGGCGGCCTTGCGGAGCTCCATTCGCTCCCTGGATTTGCCGCTCTCGTCGCCGCTCTTCCACGCAAACTGCTTGATGTCGAGGCGGCTGAGCACCTGCTTAAACTCCTCGTGCTTGCGCTCGTGGACGGTAAGCCGGCCCTCTCGCCTCACAAAGCTTGCGGGCTTTGTGTGGAGGCTGGGCGCTGGAACCAGCCTTCGCGGGCCAGCGGGCTTGGCCTTCTTCTTGCTTCTCTGGGTCCGGTAGCGCTTGGTGGTTCTCACCGCGGCAAAGAAGCGCTGCTGGGAGTAACTCCAGCTCCACGGCGTGGGCGGGGACGAGGGCGATCGTTGCGCAGCCGGGGTCACGTACCTCGGGGAATGTGAAGAGTGGGCGAGAGCTTTGGCGGTGGAGATTGAGCTTGCGAGGCGCCTCAGCGTGCTGCTGCTCCACATTGTTGTGTCGTTAGGGTTTAGGGCTTAGTCTATTCGGATATTCGTAGAATAAAGCAAACTTACCAAAAACTATGGTGATATAATTTATAAACGTGTTTAAAGTTTAAACTTCCATTAATCTATGATAAGTGATAAAAACATCGTAATTAAAATGAAAATTTAAATTCATGGTCTTAAGATGATTTGTAAAATTGACTCAAATTATATTTAACCAAACACAACTTTCAACGGTCAACACCACTAATTTAGAATTTAACCGTTAAACCAGCACCGACGTATTGTCCTCTTGCTTTGAGAAAATGTTTTGTTCGATTTTCCTGTACAATGCTGATTGGATTATGATTCGCCACAGGACAACCTGTTGTTACGCACTTCTGACACAAGCATGGCTATGGTGAAAATTTGACAAAGATTGAATAAACGAAATTAAAAAGCGGCATCGCTTCGTGGAAGGAAGCAACAGTAGTTATCGGATCCATCAAAGGGCTGGATCCATTCGAGGCCCCTCTCCAGAGGTAAATTAGCAAAGGATTCATCCTTTTTTCCTTTTTGGTCGCATTCGTTGTTGGTAGGCAAGTGATGAGTGTGCTCATTTGCTAGATTTCCTTTGACACTCTGGTAGGTCATTGTCTTTGCGACCGCTTCCATTGCGCATTGCCCACCGGTTCTCTTGGGGGCAGGGGTCTGGTGGGTTCTTGCCACTCGCAAAATCGACGAAATCGGGCAATGTGGGCTCCTAGATTCTGGCATTGGGTTCCTGGAACTGGTTCCAGACTCCAAAACACAGATTTGAGCTGCCCGGATCTGTGAATGACTGTCGAGTTTCGAGAGAGATGACCGTACAGAGGCTGGATCCCGGCTCGCCCGATTCGAGTGGATATGGCCACGATGGGATCTCTGCGCCAGTAAGCAATGCCAAGCTCCTCCATCACAAGAGGCTGGTTTTAGTCTGGGCTTTGATGGTTCTTCTTCCTCTGGCGCTCGTGAGGCTGTCACTCTTCCATGTCTACCCGGAGCGCATGGGAGGGGATCGAAATCTCTCGGCGGAGCTCCAGCAAATGATCCAGTCCGTGAATCTCAGCGCACTTCCTTCGCATCGATCAGGTAACTCGACTATACTTTACTTCTAAGTTAGAGCGTTTTTCCATCTTTTCTAGCGTGGTATCTAAGTTCTTTGATTTTAGGAGGCTGTGATCTCCTCCAGGGCGAATGGATCCCTGACGAGGTCGGGCCAACGTACTCGAACGAGACATGTAATCACATCCAAGGACACCAGAATTGTTTGAAGAATGGTCGGCCAGACAACGGGTATATGTTTTGGAGATGGAAGCCAGATGACTGCGAGTTGCCTCGATTCAACACTACGCTCTTCATCGAGCTCATGAGAGGGAAGCTCATGGCATTTGTCGGTGATTCCATCGCTCGAAACCATATGCAAGCACTGCTTTGCACGCTCTCTCAGGCAAGTCTTCCAAGCTAGTTCTTGTCCTAGAAGGCTCCATTCGTTAGCTTTAGTTTTCAGCATGTCCTGTGAAGTTGTTCTTGGTTCTTTCGGTTATTTCCTCTTTCATGATTTAAGTGATCCAAAAACTTAGCCATTTTCGTTGTTTGGCATAAGTCCTCATTGTGTGTTCCTTTGTTGTTGAGTACTATGCTTCTTGGTTTGATGGAGAACTTGGGCATCTTCATCCCCAGCTTGCCTAGTCCCGTTTTCACTATATCATCTTTTCTTTGTATTGTAGTGGTCTACAAACTACCTAAGTTCCTTCTTGGACATCGTTTATATTTTATTCGTATCACTAGCTTTCTTTATGTTTTTATAACTTGTTCATGTTTTCCTGGAAACGCCAAGTTTTCATCATAAGTTTCATGCCGGATCGAAGTTTGCTAACTTTCCTTTTCCACCTCTCAGATCGAGAAGCCGATCAAGACATACACCGATGAGGGAGATAGGCACGTAAGATGGTGGTTCCCATCAAACAATTTCACCGTGTCCACATTCTGGTCGCCATACCTCGCCTTCCAGACCGACGACGAATCCCACGGCATCGAAAAGGGCCACAGCAAGCTCTTCCTGGACAAGCTCGACCCCGTCTGGCTCGCAAACATCACCCAATTCGACGTCCTCATCCTCTCCTCGGGGCAGTGGTTCTTCAAGAACAACCTCTTCTTCCAAAACAACACGCTCATCGGCTGCCACCACTGCCCCGGATTCAACATCACAAATCTGGGCTTCTACTTCGCGTATCGCGAGATCCTCAAACACGTCCTGGTCGAGCTCCCAAAACTCCAGGGATTCAAAGGCCTGGCCATCCTCCGGAGCTTCTCCCCCGACCACTTCGAGGATGGACGGTGGGATAACGGCGGGAGCTGCAAGAGGACTGTGCCGTTCCATCCCAACCGCACGATCCCAACGGACAGTTTGACGTTCGAGATGCACAGGATCCAACGGGAGGTGTATGACTGTCTGGAGCGGCCCGACCGGGTGGCCATGGTGGACGTAACACAGATATCGTACCTCCGACCGGATGGCCACCCCGGGCCGTACAGGAACTTCCAGCCTTTCTCCAAGGAGTTTGTGGGCCACGTCCAGAACGACTGCCTGCATTGGTGTATCCCTGGGCCGGTGGATACTTGGAACGATATGGTGCTAGAAACCATGCGACAACGGTTAATTTGAAGTAATGGAGAAAAGAGAGAGCTGTGTTTGTTGAGATGGTAAAGTACTGAGTAGCGAATATGCCTAGAATATTTAAGAATTTTAAGTATATTCTCTAATTCAAGAATCTTGTTTATTGCTAATACAAACCAAAGTTAAATCTCTAGTGTGCAAACTGGATAAGGATATATTGGTAGAGATTAACATCCTTTCTCAATGCCATCCCATTTTAAATGCCTCTACAACCCATTTAAAGTATTTGTTCATTTGAGGAACTTCATGTTGTCCAAGGTATTTTTCCTCATCTTTTGATACAATTTCTTAGTCTTGCTTTGCTGACTCAAAAGCTCATAACTTCATGATTGGCAGCATGTGGAGAGAGTTCTCTTTATCTTGAACTTTATCCTCTAAATTTTTCAACATACATGATAACAAGGAAGTGGTGGCAGCAAACTAGGAAAAGAGGTGGTAAGAGAACCTTGAGTAGTTGATTGTGCTCTTTCATACAAGCTCTAATAATATAGTAAATTCCACTACTAGAAGGTAGAGGAAAAGCCCCTTGATGAAGAAAAGCTGGCTAGAACCTATGAAAGTGAAGATCATGTCAGCCTCTCCAACACAAGCTCAAAGTGTTAAGCATTAGCTTTGACCATGTAGTCAATATGGGTCAAAGGTCAAAGTAAGGTGTGGTGGAGAGGAGCATCAAACATCAAACAGTCACACTTAAGCTCTTGAATTTAAACTTTTCAAAAAGTCACATAACCCAATTTACTTAAACTTAAAGATATTTACCCTAAATATTTTAATACCTTTAACTAATTGGAAAAAGCTTATTCAATTTTCTTTGATATTTCAATTTTAATTAATCATCTTTCAAATTGTTCTTCTTAGTTATTTACAAAGATGCATAGCACATTTACTACAATATGTGGACATGTCAAACCATCTAAGGCTATAGGTGGTAGTGTTTTAGACAAGGCTTCCTTGGTGGATTAATTTAAGATTCTAATTTTTTCTAATAATAGTGGTGTGAATGAGTATTTGGCTTAATTAGTCAATATAAAGAAGTTTTTTGTTGTTTGGCTTTTGATGGTAGAATTGGTTTATGTTGCACATAAAACCATAGTATATGTGATCATGAGATGAGATTTCCATACCCACCGTAAATTTTTAAAACCTTAAAGGATATATAAGGATTAAAAAACTTATCTCATTAAGTAATTACCTATTATCTAATTGACAATAGGCATTATGATGGTGCATAAGGGATAAGATGGATTACAGCCTACCATAGATAAATGTGAGATTGCTTTTCATTTATATTTTACTTTGCACTATAATATAGAGAATGCTTATATAGAACTTTGACACTTCTAATAGGGAAAATGATGCTTAAAGACTACAATGAAAAGTTTACTCGCTTAATTAGCCATGTTACAATAAAAGATCCAAATCAAAATAAATATTATTTTATTGATGAGGCAACATATACATCATTCCTAGCTTATAAAGAGTTTATCGATGATATACACATATCTTACAAGTGTTTCAAGAGTCTTTTGATCAAGAATAATTATAATGATAATCATGGACACAAGAATGATAACAAATATGACAAGTTTTCATAATGGTTATTTCAGTATGAAAAGTTTTCTGGGAAGAACTATAACAAGGTTATCATTATTGCACCAATATAAAGTTGATTATCCACGTCTTAAAAATAAGCACCAAAGCAAGAAGAATAATTAATCTTCTAACAATGATAAATAAAATATTAAAAAGTTGTAGGATTTGAAGATGAAGATGATAAAAAGGAGTGTTCTAATAAGAGGAAACAGCTCTTAATCATTGCTTATCAACTCAATTGTATATGCAACAAAGAGGAATATAAAAACACTTATGTGAGGGTGTGCTTTGTGATAGTCTATGATATTTTATATTGAATAGAATTTCCACATTTTATAAACTTCTAAATACTTAAAAATAAAAAATATGAACAAATATTTTTAATTCTTAGTCAAATCTGCCAAAAGTTCATGAGAGTTCATGAGAGATTGGATATGAATACCCTATTTCTAGGGTTCTTTGCATGGTCAAATCCATCCATTAAGATAAACCCTCACACTTGATATGAAAGTTTATTTTGCAAATTCTAAAAATTTAGAGCCAAATTTTTTTATCCTCTTTTTCTTGGGGAAATATCTAGCAACAATGTAGTAGTGCTGTTTTTGACAATTATTATGTAGTATTATCTATTTCTTTGATTAGGTTTATGGATTTTCTTCTTACTCCTAGGTGAACAAAGGCACTAGCAAGGACTTTAGAGTCCAATGGCACTGCTGCACAATTGATCTCCTTGGTTGGCCAACTATGAAAGAATCAGAGCTTTTTCTGTGGCAACAAATCCCACAAAATTTATGGTTCAATCATATTCATCCACTTCCTACCTAAAATTACCAAAATCAATCAAATGTTGACTTCAAATTTGTTACAATTTATTACCACATGTTATTTTGCTGCCTCTAAAAAAGTCTAATTCCAGCAATAGTCATGGAATTCTTGATGTTATCAGTAAGAATAATCATCAAATTTTTACTTCTTTATAATTATTCTCAATATAAAAGCTTTATACATTTCTTTGTGACGAATTTAAGGACATAGAGTTCAATTTTGGGGAGAAAGTATAATTGAACACCAAGAACCTTACTTGCAAGCATGAGAAATTTGAGCTTTTTCATATTGTTATCATTAATACATTAACCTCTCAATCTTTATATAGTATTTATGAATTACTTGGTAAGCTTTAAAGAATCTTAACAAGAGAATAATATCAACAAAGGGATTCTCTAGTGATCCCATTGTTGTTTACAATGTTTAATAGAAGTGAAAAGTTATATTTTAATTAATACTCCTCCTTTAGTCTTAGGAGCAAGATCTTGTTCATTAGGAGGTGAATGCTACATTTGTTACGTGATTTATGATATTTCATATGAACACATATGTATTTTACAAATTTGTAAAGATCAAAATAGTGAAAGTTCTCAATGTATTTCAACCTATACAAAATTCGTATGTTACAGCAGCAGCAACAGCAGTCTAACCAAGCCCTGAAGCTGCACAACAGCCGAAGCTTAGCCATGGCCCTCTTTTTGGGGTTCTTCGCGAAAGTGTCATCCGATCCGTCCATTGAACTAAGCTGTCGATCTCTACCGTCCAATTTGAAAAATGTGACTGGATCACTTGGGCTCTACTTTGCTTGAGATGTGATAGCCGCCGCTATATTCGAACGCTCCGGCGGATGATAGAGCCACAGAATCGTCATCGTAGAGGCTGATAGCGTGAAATTCCCCTCCACCGACGCTGCTACCTCTGAATCCGCCAGATGATCCCAGCAGCGATTCCAGCTCCTTGACAATGTCGTTCATGCTGGGCCTTTGCGCCGCTGCTTCCTCCACGCACGCCATCGCCAAGCTCAAGTATCTCTTCAAATCTCTCGCCGAGTAGCCCTCGAGCGAGGAATCCAGCAAAGGGATTACCTCCTCGAGGCCTCCTCGCGCCAAAGCGGTCCGGATCTCTCGAACCACGTATTTTCCATTCTCGATCGGAGGCCGTGCTGTTAGAAGCTCCAAAAGAACCACTCCAAAGCTATAGACGTCGCTCTTGTCTGTAAGTTGGTTCGTCATGTAGTACTCGGGATCCAAGTATCCCTGCGAAAGAAAAGCGATGGTGGTCAGCTAGATCTCTGGAGAAAACTTCAAGGGAGGATGGATCCATCGAAGGACAAGAAGAAAAAAGAGATTTTGAGGATGGACAGGAAGGAAAACGAGATTTTTGGTCGAGGAAGAACACGAAACTTTGAGGAAAAGGTGAGAGTTCTTTACCAGCGTTCCTTTGACTTGAGTGGAGACGTGAGTTTTCCCTTCGTCGGCCATGGAAACTTTAGACAATCCCAGATCCGCGACCTTGGCGACGAACATCTCGTCCAGAAGAATGTTGCTCGACTTGATGTCTCTGTGGATAATGGGAGGATTTGCGAGCTCGTGAAGATATGAGAGTCCGCGAGCCGAGCCAATGGCAATCTCGAGTCTCTTGTTCCAGCTGAAAACTTTGGATTGATCTGGAATAACCACCAAAATGCCAACTTAGATAAAATAAAAAAAACTCGCCAAGAACTTACCCATGAGATGATCATGAATGCTTCCACCCGCCATGTACTCGTAGACGAGCATTTGCTCGCCATGCTCGAAACAAAACCCGACTAGCTCGACCAAGTTCTTGTGGTGGAGACGAGAAAGCAGCTCAATCTCGGTCTTAAACTCGTGAGCTCCTTGCATCGATCCGGCCTGAGCTCGCTTGATCGCCACAACCTCACCGGTGAGAAGAAATCCTTTGTAGACTTTGCCGTATCCTCCGACTCCAATCTCGTGGCTGCTGCTAAAGTTGCTCGTAGCTTTCTTGAGATCCGCGAAAGAGAAGGACCTCACTCCCTTGATCACTGGCGCCTCCCCGTTGTCTTTTCCACCACCTCCCCAGGAAGCTGGAAGATCACCACACGAAAGTTAGTATAAGTCTATCGAGTTCGTCCGAGAACTATTGAGTTCTTCTCGAGTCCTTGCGAAAACTATCGGACTTTGTAACGTACCAAAAGGATTTGTAGCTTGTTTGGCTTTGTCTGCTCGGAACTTTTGCCTGATCGCATAGCCAGCGACTAGAAGCACGACCAAAACCGCACCAATAGAGATACCAGCGATGGCTCCAGCCGAGAGTCCTCCATTACCATTTCTTATAGTTACTGAAACAAAGCAAAAGCTTAGAACTCCGTTAGAAAAAAAGGAAGATCGCGGAGCACTTACCGTCGCCAAGATCGATTGGAAAGACGTGGTATGGATCAAACCCGATCAGGTCGATAGTGTGAAGAACGTAGCGCCGGAGAATATCAGTCTTCACTTGGTCCGACAACTCGCGAACGCCGACGGGAGGAAAGAATGCCACGGTCGCGTTGAATCGAAAGTTGTCCGTGAAGACGAAGTTATCGACCCACACTTGGTCGATGAAAATTCCGGTTCCTCGAGCGATCTCGGACCGAAGAGCCTCGTTACGGTCGCTTGTCATGGCCGAGAAAGTTGGCGCGTTGAATTGGAACCGCAAAATGTATGGAATGCCGCAGGTGCACGAAGCCTCGTTGAAGATCTCCTCTCTCGGACAAATCCTGTTTGTGGAGCTGCAGTTTTGCCGTGGTCTCCAGGCCTCGTTACCCAAGGCATTTGAAGAACAGTTGATGTAGCTCGGAAGGTTTGGCGTGTTGCAAGCCGGATTTCCACCGAGTCTGCGAAAAATTAAGATAATTGGCTTTATCCAAGAACTTTTGGAAATGAGGATGTGCGAGCTTACGTTACTGAGTAAGAAGATGAAGGTGGAGCTCGAGATACTTCAGGAATTCTGTTGTTGGCGAGATCGATGCTTGTTAAAGATGGTGATGTGTTTCCCAGATCCAGAGTCGAGTTTAGATTGTTGGAGGCGAGTGATCTGCAAAGGAAACTTAGGCTTTGGACTGGAGGTTCTTTTGTTTGAACTTACAAGGTTTCGAGGGTGGAAATCAATAACAAGGCGCTGGGATCTCCAGAGAGGTTTGATCCATCGAGCTCCCTGATGGAAAAAGGAAAAAAACGCGAAAATGTTAGCAACCAGAGAGGTTTTACGTCTTTGTTCTTACAGGGATTGCAAGTTCCGGAGTGTTGAAAACGAAGGCAAGGCTTGAGGAGGGAATCTGTTAAGTCCCATGCTCCTGTAATATCCATAGTACAGGAAACGAAGAAGAAAAAAGAAAAAAAGAAGTAAGAAAATAGCTGTTTTTACGAATTTGAAGCTTTACTCACACAAAGAGAAGTTGGCTCAGAGAAGAAATGTCCGGAAAGCTTGTAAAGCTGTTGTTTCGTATGTGTCTGCAGGAGAGAACTTCCATGAGGAAAGGAAGAAGAAAAAGAAGGAAAAAAGGTGAAGACTCACATTTCATGTAAAGTTCCGCTGAGTCTGGTAATGTTTGGAAATGGGCCACTAAAATTGTTGTTGTCAAGCCTCCTGCAATGTTTCACGTCGTTAACCACGTAAGAACTCGCAATAGAACAACTTACAAGATTTCAAGAGAAGGCAAATTTGCCAGTGCTGCTGGAATTTCTCCACTCATTGAGTTACTATCCACCAAGCTGAATTGTTCCAAAGCTTTTAGCAGTGGGAGATCAAAAGCAAAACTTAAAAGCTTACAAGTGGATGAGGTTTGGCAAAACAGAGATTTCTTCTGGGACTCTTCCTACGAACGAATTGTTGTTTAAATGGCTATGTATCACAAGGAAAAAGAAAAAGAAACGAGAAAAATGAATGTTAGTCTTGATCTAGCTTTACGAGAAACTTACAAGTGAATAGCGGATGTTAGATTGTTTAGGCCGACTCCTGCTATACCGCTCGAAACCGGAAGTTCACCAGAGAGATTGTTCTCTGAGAGATCAAACCAAGTGCAATTCGTGAGTAGACCAAGCTCTGGTGGAATGCTTCCATCTAGCCTGTTTGAATTCAATCCTCTGTGACATAAAAGAGAAACCAAGGGTTTTTTAGATCCAGTTCTTCGCAAACTTTTACAGAAGCAACTCACAGGAATCGAAGTCTTCTCAATCGACCAAGCTCGGCTGGTATTCTTCCAGAGAAAGAACACGATTGCAAACTCCTGCCTCATAGAAAATTTGGTACGTTAGTTTTCCTCGTGATAAAGCTTTTTTCGAGAGTGAACTTACAAGAACTCTAAGTTGCTCAATCTGCCAAGTTCACTCGGGATTAAACCGGTGATTAGAGGATTGAATGCAAGAATGCTGGAAACGAACAAACAAAAAAATAAAAAAACAAAAAGAGCGACAGAGAGAAGTCTCATGTGAGCACGATCATCATCAATGTTTTTAAAAAAAAAGAACTTACAGTGTTCTAAGGTTGACGAGATCCCCTATTGCGGGGAGTAGCCGTCCACCGAGCCGGAAATCCCCCAAATCCCTGGACGGAAGAAAAGTGTGTAAGAACTTTGTGATCTAGAGAGATTAGAGAACTCACAAGCTTGTAACGTTCTGGCCACCGTTCTCGCACCCTATTCCTTGCCATCCTCCGCAAGGATCATCACCGTTCCAGTTAAGGTTAGAGGATGTCCATCCAGCTCTCACAGCACGTAGAGCAGCGGCTATATAATTTTTGTAAGATCACCCCCAAAAAGAGAAAGAGGGAGAGAGAACAAGAACAAGAAGAAAAACCGAGAAAAAGAAATAGACCAAGGGATGTTGGAGCAAGTACTAGAGTGAAGAGTAGATTTACAAAGAAAAAAATGGCCAGATGGAAGAGTAGAGACAGTGAAGGAGAGAGAGAGAGAGAGAAATCTAGCTCTATGAGCAAGGATAAGAACTTACTATCAGCTGGGTTTGTGACTGCCAGGGCCACCGAGGCCAAGAACATCCACAGGAGAATTATCTGAATCGCCCATCTCGCCAATCCCATGTCCCTGATCAATCTTCCCGGCTACCTGGCGAAAAATCCCTCTTGGGCACCTCGAAGCGATGGAATCCACCCGGCCTTCAAGCTCCGCTCGCGCATTTAGTGTTCTAGCACGGACTTTCGCAAAGAACCAGTCACAGAACCCGGATTTGAATGAACGAAGATGACTGCGCAGCCCAGTCAAATCGCGGCTTTGCGAAGGACGATCCAATCTTTTGACCACTGCGCGCTAACAAAACTCTCGCGCTTTGACTCTTTCTCCCCTTCTAATCAAGTACATTCTATGCCGTCGATCCGTGCAGTCAAATCCAGGCCGTCCGTTCCCAAGAGTGAGAATTTTGTATTGAGCTAGGGCGGGATGGAAAGAGATAGCGCAATGCCGGCAGCTACGAGCGGCAGGGGCCCTGCTGGTGCTACGCGCTTGTCGCTTCCATCCACAGTGGCGCCGCTTCGATCTGGCACTATTGCGCGACTGGCTCGGTCGTCCAGGGATTTAATCGATCAACTTGGCGTCGTGAGTGACAGGGTAAGCATGTCCTCACGTAGGTTGACTTGGCAGAGGATAGTACCAGTAAGGAAAGCGTTGAATTGCTTGTGAGAAATGTCTTGTTCCAGGGAGTGATTGAGAGCTGGGAATGGAGTGGAGGAGGAGGCTGGGACTAGCATTGTGGATTTTTGGGCGATTTCTTCTCCACGTACTGGGAGCTACTAATACTCGAGATGGTCAGCTTCAGTGGATTTTTTTTTCTTCTTCTTTCTTTCTTTGGAGACTCATCTTCGTTTTTTTTTTCTCTTCTGTTCTTTCTTCTTCCAGTTGCTGCTTTGCAGCTCCTTTTCAAGAACTGGCAATCAACCCAGCTCAACTGGACGGATTATGATCCCTGTGGCTCTTCCTGGCGGGGAGTTGTGTGTAACAACAGCACAAACTCGGTTATACGATTGTAAGCTGTTTCCTCTCAGATCGGCTCATACTTACTGGGTTTCTGACAGGATTTCCAACCGAGGAGACATAACTGGCACACTGTCATCCGCTATTGGAGATCTCACCGATTTAGTGGCCCTGTAAGAAACAGTCTCTCGTTGTTCGTGATCTTATTAATCTGTCTAAGGACTGTAGGGACCTTTCCTTCAACCCACAATTGACAGGAGAGATTCCAAAAGAGCTCGGCCGGCTGACAAACTTGCAATACTTGTGAGTACCCGTCTTTTTCCATCTCCCGTTTTAAAACCAACCTATTCCTGGCAGGAGTTTGCAAGGATGCAACTTTTATGGATCAGTGCCAAAAGAGCTTGGGCTTCTCAAAAACTTGAAGTTCTTGTAAGCTTCAGCAAGAGAATTGCTGCTTTCGGTGCTGACAAAGGTTGTCTATCAGTGCGTTAAACATGAACAAATTGACAGGAAGTATTCCTCCGGAGCTTGGTGGCTTCCCGAATGTTACTTGGTTTGACATCGCACAAAATGGTCTTACTGGTCCGCTGCCAGTTTCTACGTCAGTTCCTCAAAATATTGGCCTCGACAACCTCACCAGCGTTGTTCACATGTAAGTAGCTTTGATTTGATGGTCCTTTCCTCATATCGTTTTGTTGCGACATAGCCATCTCTTCAACAACTCACTATCAGGAAATCTACCTAAGGAACTTGCGACGCTAAAGTCCCTTAGACACTTGTTAGTACTTACCTTCTTTTTCCAATTTCTTTCAGAACTTACCTTTTGGATGTAGGATGGTTGAAAACAACGCTCTCACTGGAGAAATTCCAGTGGAGTACGGAAACTTTGCGGCTTTAGAGATTTTGTAAGTTTTGCTATTTGGTGGTGCTTAAAGCTGACAATAATTTTTATTATCAGGAGGGTTGACAATAATCGTGTTCAAGGTACCATTCCCGCTACTATCAATCAGATACCAAAGCTTTTGGAACTGTAAGTTAATGTGTTGAATTTGATGCTCATTGATACGAATGACTGTTACAGGCACCTTGCCAACAACAGTCTAGTGGGTACTCTGCCAGATTTTTCTGCTCTGAAGGGCATACTGCTTTTGTAAGCAAAACCTTCTCCTTTTTGTACTCATGCAGTTGGAATTTTCAGAAATGTGGGTGAAAACGTTTATGGCCCTCAACCGTTTCCGCCGGGCATTTCAAATCTCACAAACTTGCAAACATTGTGAGTGCCAACTTCCTTTATTTTATAATAACTGGTTGTTGTTCGTAAAGGAAAATTGACAAGGGGTTTCTGAATGGGACGATTCCAGATGGCCTCTTTGCGCTTCCGGCACTAGAATCTGTGTAAGGAAATCTATTTTATTATCAAGTCTAAGATTTTTTCTTTTATGTCAGCTCTCTTTCTAATAATCAGCTATCAGGAACAGTCACTTTTCCGAGTACTGTAAAGCGACTAAAGTCTGTAAACTTGAACGGCAACATGATCACTCAAGCTATAGGCATTGTTGACAGCTTCAATCTCTCGTATGTGTTTAAATCTTTTCTTTCTTCATCCTAAGCATGTTTCATGCAGCCTGGTGGGAAATCCAGTTTGTAGCGACAATAGCTTTCATCTGTCCCAAGCTGTCTGCGCGCCAATAATCTCACCAACTTGGAACTCTACCAATCAAACCTGTTCAATCACTTGTACCGACGGCAAGCTCCGGAATCTGGAACTGTGTTCGTGTGCTTTCCCTGTCACTATCATCTTCCAGTTCAATGCTCCATCCTTCTCGGACATCAGCCAGGACAGAATGAATACTGTCAAAGCAAACGTCTCTTATCAAACTCTCGTAGCTCCGGAACGGGTGACGGTAGGAGGTGCTGCATGGATGTCAAGCTATCGACTTCAAGTTATAGTTTATGTGTTTCCTGAGAAAGGAAAGGACAAGATGGAGTACAGGGAGTCTGAGAAGATACTTACGCGAATTGCTCTCCATACAAATGCTAGTTTTCCAGCGGAATTCGGGCCTTATTCTGTCATCTCGGCTTTTGCACTTGGAGGTAATTTTCAAGTCTCGAGTGTTTTCTGTCCTGATGTCTTGTTCATTATCAGGTAATATTGCTGCAAAAAAATCAAGTCTTAGCAAAGGTGCAGTTGCTGGGATCTCAGTTGGAGCAGTTGCGGTAGTCCTGGCTGTAGTTGCGGCTGTCACTTATGCTATGTTCCAGAAGAAAAGAGCAGACAAAGCACTATCCAAACCATTCAGTAAGTTTTTGCCGCTCTTAGGGGATCCGAGTAACAAATATGACTTACAGCTTCTTGGGGATCAATGGGAAAAAGCGGAAGCGCACCAAAGCTCAAAGGTGCTCGATATTTCTCACTCCACGAACTTAATAAGGCGACGAATAATTTCAGCAGTGCAAATGAGATTGGCTCTGGAGGCTATGGAAAGGTGACTGTTTTTGAAACCTTGTACTTATTTTAACCTGCTTCTTCCAGGTGTACAAAGGTGTTTTAGTAACAGGAGAAGAAGTAGCAATCAAGAAAGCTGAGGAAGGATCCATGCAAGGCAGCGGCGAGTTTAAGACTGAGATCGAACTTCTATCGCGCGTGCACCACAGAAACCTCGTTGGGCTCATTGGATTTTCCTACGAGCAAGGATCACAGATGCTCGTTTATGAATACATGGCGAGCGGCAGCTTGAGAGATCATCTTGGTAGCGAGCATAACTGTTTTTTTTACTTTTTCGAATGTGTTTTGATGGTTTCTTATCTTGTTTGCAGCAAATTCAAGGCACCTCAGCTGGAACAAACGCGTTGAGATTGCTCTTGATTCAGCCAAAGGTCTGGCTTACCTCCACGAACTTGCCAGTCCTTCTATCATCCACAGAGACATCAAGTCAGGCAACATCTTACTCGACGAGAATCTGAAAGCCAAGGTTGCTGACTTCGGGCTGGGAAAGGAGGACAGGGCTCACGCCTCTATAACACAAGTCAAAGGAACACTGGTAAGCAAAAACTTCTTTTTTCTTGTCTTTGTTTTGTTTTGATTGCTCTCTTCCACACAGGGATACATCGATCCAGAGTATTACATGACGCAGCAGCTCACCGAGAAGAGCGACGTCTACAGCTTCGGTGTGGTGCTCTTGGAGCTTCTAACAGCGCGGCAGCCGATCTCTCGCGGGAAATACATCGTGAGAGAGGTGAAAACAGCTCTGGACAGGGGTGGCTTGACGGCTCTCGGAGCTTTACTGGATCCCAACCTGGAGAACGTTCCACAGAGCGATCTCATCAAGTTTGTGGACTTGGCACTCCAGTGCGTCGAAGAGGCGGGGGCCAACAGGCCAAGCATGGGCCAAGTCGTGAAGCAGCTCGAGCTCTTGCTCCTCATTGACGGCAACGACGCTAGCGGCAATGGGTTTGAGTTTAGCGGAACCAGAGATGGAAGTTTGTATGACGATACAGACGTTCTCTCGCGTGGCAACGATCCAGAGTTTGCTTATAGCGGGATCTTCCAGTCCAATGTGCTTCCCAAGTAGCGCAAAAATGTAAAATTCTTTGCTATATAAATAATAGTAATGAATGAAAAAGTGGCAAGCCAAAAATAAAACTGCATTTTCTCTAAAGAAAGTCAAAAAGAAAAATCTACGAATTCGCAAATTATTTGAGTTCCATTTGCAAATAAGATATTTTTTTGGTCGTTAGTTTCTTTTCAGACCAAATTTGAAAACAATGGGATGAGAGAGGCTCGAACTCTCGACCTCAGGATTTCTCAGCAGCTATGAGACCTACGCGCTGACCAACTGCGCCACCATCCCTTACATTTTATTTTAACATGATCATACTAAGCAAATTTATCTTAGGATTGATCAAGAAAAAAAGGCCACCTTTTTCTTTTCAAAGGGTTGATCATATCAACACTAAATCTTGGATTAGATGATTGATGTGGCAAAATAGACCAAATTATCATCAGTGGATCTTTGGCTTTTGTGTTTCATGGAAGCATAAGCTCCACCTTTCTACAGGGGCTTAATCCCTTTCTGTCGTAAGTCAGAAAATGCAATGTAAACTTTAAGATAGTTAATTAGATTTTTTAACTTTAAGATAGTTAACTAGAGTTTTTAACTACACGTTTACAAGCTGGCCACAGCAGGTCAAAGTCCCACGTATTAAAAACAATTAGTGGAATAACAGAATTGCTGTAAATAACGCTTGAGTCAATCGAGCGAGGATCCAGCGGCTGGTTCTTATGCCACGTGGATTTACAGAGCTAGTTCTTATTCCACGTCAGCCATTGAATTGAATTGGATGTGACACGAGCTCTCGAGCGTGAGAGAGAGAGAGAGAGCGCTTGGATTTCGTGGATGCGCGGCGCTACATTGCCGTCCAATCTCTGGCGGTAAGCAGCTCTCCGGGGATTTCACTCAGGGCTTTCTCGATCAATCGTGTAGAACAGGGCAGATTTTCTGGAAATTTCGAGCTCCTGGGGTTACAAATGCCGTGATAGGCACGGCCGCGGTGCCATGGAGTGGATTGCGCTGTGGTTTCTTGTTCTTGGTGTCATCATCCATCGAGCTTCTCCCTCCACGTTCGAATCTGACAGTAGGCATTCTTGGCTGACTGGAAAAGTTTGGTGCTGACCATTGTTCTTGGCTGATTGATTCTATCGCAGCGTCTGCGCTGAGGCTCGTGTCACGGGGCTTTCGCAACGCCAATTTGCGGTGGAGTGGTGATGATCCGTGTGGATCTCGGTGGATTGGAGTTTCGTGCAATTCATACAACGTGACCAAGTTGTAAGTTTGTCTTTCTTCCATGTCTTCTTCGATCTATAGGATATTCTTTTCTTTTATAGGATACTGAACAACATGAATATAGCCGGGCAGCTGCCACTGTCGATTGGAAACCTTGCAAATCTCCAAACACTGTGAGCTCTCTCTCTCTCTCTCTCCTTTTCGACTTTCACCAGCGACAAAGCTCACACTTGTTTTGTGTTCGCAGGGATTTGTCGTTTAATCCCGACCTGACTGGGCCTCTTCCCAAAACTTTGGGCCAGCTGACGAAACTGGAATTCCTGTAAAGTTCTTTAGTTAGCATTTCCGTTTTGCTGACGCTTATCTGCTTTAGAAACTTGCAATCGTGTGGCTTCACTGGAGATATTCCGTTCGAGATTGGAGGGCTGAAGAGCCTCAGATTTTTGTAAGCTTGTTTCATCTCGCTCTCGTTGATTTAACACCGTAAAAAACCTTCCCAGGGCCTTGAACATGAATAAGTTAAGCGGTGTGATTCCTCCAGAACTGGGAAGGCTTTCGTCAGTCTACTGGTTTGATCTGGCACAAAATCAAATCGCTGGCCCACTGCCTGTCTCATCTGGAAACTCTCAAAACATTGGGCTTGATAACTTGACAGCGGCAGTTCACTTGTAAGAGACCGTGCGTGTTAGTGTACCTTCTAACTTTGTGTTTATTTTTATTTATTTTTTTGTAGCCACTTGAACAGTAACAAGTTCACAGGTTCCATTCCGCCAGAAATATGTTTCTTACCTGAACTCAAGCACTTGTACGTATCTTTCTCATTTTCTTGGAGGTTTTTGGACCTGTTGTCCTTCAGGTTACTGGACAATAACGGCTTCTCTGGAGAAGTTCCCGATGAAATTGGAAACTTTTCCAAGCTGACCATTATGTAAGTCGTTGATAGCTAGAATACGATCTCGTGTAATAGTGTATTTTCAGGAGACTTGACAAAAATCAATTTACTGGATCACTGCCGAGCAGTTTGGGGTGGATATCAACCCTCTTTGAAATGTAAATAGCTAATATAGTTACTACTGTGCACTCAAGTTTTGTTTCATTTACAGAAACACCAATGATAACGCTTTTACTGGAACGTTACCTGATCTAAGCGGGTTGAAAGCTCTCCAACTAATGTAATATTTCTTCTTAACTTGGACTTGACCTGATGCATGTGTGTATGCATAACAGAAGCGTTGGAAACAACTCCTTTTCTCCTCAGCCAGTTCCATCATTTGCAGGCTTGACTGGACTCCAGACAATGTAGGTGAATTTTGTTAGTTTTTGTTTGAACTTAACATCTCTTAATCTGCAGAGAAATCAACGATGGCAACTTGATTGGTCCCATTCCAGACGGGTTCTTTCAGTTCGCTAGGTTGGAGTCTGTGTAAGTATATTACACTAAATATCCACGGAAACTAATCACATCTTCACAGCTCCTTGACTGACAACAGCATAAATGGGACGGTAGATTTCACGGGTGCTTCACCATCCCTTGTTAAGGTCCAGCTGGATAACAATAAGATCACAAACCTGAACATCGGGAGTGGCGTGTTTACTCTTTCGTAAGCGTCTGTTCCAGCATGTCATTCATCTTATTGTGGTGAAATGTTGCTGCAGCCTGGCAGGGAATCCAGTTTGTGATGGCGGTAGGCTGTCCGATGTAGTATGTGCAAGCAAACCATGGAAAGAAAATGTTACCTGCGCAAATTCCTGCTCTGGTCAACAGGCGCTAAATCCCAATACGTGCTCCTGCGGTTTGCCGCTCAACTTCAGATTCCAGTTCAATGCCCCGACTTTTTCAAGTATGACCACAGACAGGGCCAACATTCTCAGGAAGTCGCTCTATGATGGACTCAGTTTGTCTCCCGACCAAGTCTGGGTGGACACTGCAAACTTCACGAGCGACAAAAGGCTGCTGGTTGAAGTTTTTATACAGCTTCGTGTGAGCAGAGACAGCGCTTCATTTATATACAGCCAGATCAGTATGCACCAGCTTAACTTGGACTACTTTGGTCCATACTCGCTGATCGTCCGACCCCCCCCGATAGGTAATACTTTCTCTCTCCAACATACTAAGTCTTCTCGTGAACTTTATAGGCGAAGAGGGAGAAAAGCATGGGATCAGTACTGCTGTCGTCGTGGGAATTATTGTTGCTGTTCTGCTTGCCGCCATCATCGTGATATTCATCGGGATCTATGCATATAAGCAGAAGAGAAGAGCAGACAAGGCCATAGTTTCCAATCCTTTTGGTAAGTGCAGACTAAAGATTTCCTTGCTAATCATGCCTTGTGAACAGCATCTTGGGGAAGCCGTGGAAAAGACAGCGGCACTGCTCCACAACTTAAGGGAGCTCGATTCTTTTCCATTGCGGAGCTGAAGAAAGCTACGAATAATTTCATCAGCAGCAGTGAGATAGGATCTGGCGGGTATGGGAAAGTTTACAAAGGAACTTTGTCGACTGGAGAGGAGGTTGCGATAAAAAGAGCTCAAGAAGGGTCATTGCAAGGCGCAGGCGAGTTTAAGAACGAGATTGAGCTGTTATCTCGCGTACACCACAGGAACCTTGTCGGACTTATCGGCTTTTGCTACGAGAGTGGAGAGCAAATGCTGGTCTACGAGTACATGCCGAATGGAACAATAAGAGAGCACCTGCCAGGTACATAGCAAAGTGATTTCTAAAGACGCGTCAACTTTTTTCTTTTCACAGACCGGATGGAAATGCTCAGCTGGAGGAAGAGACTGGAAATTGCTGTGGGGTCTGCTAAAGGAATATCTTATCTGCACGAGCTTGCAAATCCACCAATTATTCACAGGGATATAAAATCAAGCAACATCCTTTTGGATGAAAAGTTCGTTGCCAAGGTCGCTGACTTTGGGCTGTCCAAGCTTGTTCCACAAACAGATGGCAAAGGCCATGTTTCGACACAAGTGAAAGGAACTCTGGTAAGATCGATCATACTGTTTTGCACCTACATTTGTTCTCACTTTCCTCCATACTTTTCCAGGGATACTTGGATCCAGAGTATTATATGACACAGCAGCTTACAGAGAAAAGCGACGTGTACAGCTTTGGAGTTGTTCTCTTGGAGCTTATCACAGCCAAGCAGCCAATCGAGCATGGTAGATACATCGTTCGCGAAGTAAAAGCAGCTCTCGACAGAGGAGGCCTCTCTTATCTTCTACCGTTGCTGGATCCATACCTCAGAGACTATCCTCGAGAGGATCTTGACAAGTTCTTGGAGATAGCCTTGAGCTGCGTCGACGAGTCTGCTAGCAACCGGCCAACCATGAACGAAGTTGTCAAGGAGCTCGAGATTTTACTGTCACACATCTCCAGCTCTGGATTCACAAGGGAGGCGCGAGCCAGCCCCTTGTACAGCGATACCAAGTCTCTCAGGTCTGACGATTCATCCTTCCAGTACAGTGGCAGATTTCCTCAAGTAGTGGAACCAAAGTGAAGTAAGTTTTGTTTACTTTTGGTTCCTTTGGGCTGATGAGTTTCTTGCGGATGTACCATCCAGTGTTTTATATCCTGAGTTGTAAAAAACCAGTTTTTTTTCCTAGGTAGGTTGAAGAGCATGGTAATAAGAAGAGGCCCTCTTGGTAAGGTTTCAATGGACACGAACAAATGGGTGAGTCTTCTTATTTTAGATTGCTCTCTCAGAAAGTGTCGGGATGCAAACAATGTAGGATGCTGATGCTTTGTCTTCCTTTGTCAATTTTTTTGGTGGGGTGCATTCTCTTTTGGAGTGTTTTCTTCTTCCTTTTTTATTCCTTTCTCTTCGATCATGAGGGAGCTGACAAGAGCTATGGTTCTGTGTGTGCAGGAATGGAACGACGGAAGAAAGGAGGATTGAGCAAGGTCAAGTTTTCTAGACTTAGATGGGTCACTCGGAGAAGCTCGAGGGCGATTCCGGACAAGGCTCGCAGCTATGGCAGCTTTCTCCTTCTCCTGGAGTCGCTGCTTCGTCTCCCAGGTCAGATTCCTCCACAAAGTCCGACGAGATAAGCAACATCCGAGTCAAGCTCATGTGTAGCTATGGTGGAAAGATCCTTCCTCGGCCCAATGACAGCCAGCTGAGATACATGGGTGGAGAGACCCGGATAGTCGTCGTGGACAGAGCCATCACTCTGCGCGAGCTCCTCCAAAAGTTGCGAAAGCTGACCGGGAAATCCATGCTGCTCAAGTACCAGCTCCCAGGTGAGGATCTAGACGCGCTGGTTTCGGTAAAGTCCGACGAAGACCTGGACAACATGATGGAAGAGTACGACAGGTTGATGCAAAGAGATCCAGCTGCTCGGCTGCGAGTGTTTCTCTTCCAGCAGCAAAGCAGTGGAGATAACTTTGGTGACCACCACTCGGCGACTGGAAGAAGCTCGGATCAGCAGTTCATCGATGCTCTCAACGGGATCGGAGTTCCACTCGTGCCAGCGATGAGAGCCGCCAGGGATAATCTAGGACCAGGGATGGACGTTGCCGCAGCTTTCCAGGGGGTGGACGCGAGCAAACTTCCGGAGTCTCTGGACGTAGACGACGAGGCCGCCATTCTTTTCGGCAACCACGAGTTCCACTTCACTCCCGTCGCTCGCTCCATGTCCCCGCAGAGACTACCGCCGGCTTGCATCCCACTCTCCTCGACCCCGTTCGTGCCGGATCAAGCCTCCGTGACTGCAGTGTTTCGCTCGCCTCCGGAAGGAAGTGCTATCAGCATTGCAAGGCAGCAGCATTTCTCCGAGCAGCAGCCACGGTCGGGATCCAGGAGCCCGACCCGGAACTCGGCTCTTCTCGACGACTCTCCTCGCAGTGCTCGGGCAGCCATGTCTCCTTCCAGATTCCGGGACTCGCCTCTAGTCCATGCTCGCCAAGCTGTGGGGAGCCCAGCGCCAGCGGCAGTAGTGAATCCAGTGATAGCGCCGGGGAAGGGCTTCGCTCCAGTGGCTCATCAGCATCACGTAAATCAGAGCTACTCGAGCTTATATCCTTTTAGCGACCGCTAGTCAATTGGTAAAGAAAGGTGGTGTTAGAAAAGCATAAGCATTATATTCTTCAAACGGTGCCTTGTAGACAAAGAAGAGCTTGGGATAACTTTATTTCTTTAATACGTTGGGGGCATTAATATAAGCAATAGTTCCAGCAAATACAACATAAGTTACAAAACCCTCGAGATCGAGCTTTTTTTATTTCGCTAGCTTACAAATGTGATCTCCAATATAAACCGAGACAACATCCGTGCAAACAGAAGAAGCAAATTTCCAAATCTTCTCCATGGCAGCACTCTCCTCACATTTCCTTGAAGCAATCCTTTTTCTCTCATTGTTTCTCCTGGCCCCGAGAGGGCAGGCTCAAGTCTACACAACGTACAACCAGTATGATCCAGCAGCCAAAAATTATCAGCTAGATGGCCTCTACTGCGCAACTTATAGCGCGCATCAGCCACTCTCTTGGAGATCTCAGTACAAATGGACTGCGATGGATGCTTCACTGGGAATGGGTCCCCAAATGTGTGGACAATGTCTAGAGGTAGTAAAGTTATAGTATCAGAACTTTGGATCTCCTCAATCTCATTTTTTTTTCGTTTGAAGGTGACGAATACTGCCACTGGAGCTCACGTCGTGGTGAGAGTTTTGGATCAGAGCAGCAATGGAGGCTTGGATTTAGAGACGGATGCTTTCAACACGATTGACACCGATGGCGGGGGATATGCGTCAGGGCATTTGTACACATCGTACACCTCCTTTAGTTGTTAATCCTTTTGGATTTTCATTCTTTAAAATTTCCCGGTTTTTTGTTATATGCAACTTTCCCGGGAGAATTCTAGTCTTGCAGAGATCCAAAGCCTAGCGTCGCTGCTCAAATCACAGGGAATCTCAAGGAACCTTTCCGAAGCCAAGAAGATCCATGCTCGAGTTTTGTGTGGCAAGTACTGCCGGAATAGATACCTCGGGAATCTGATAATCGAAATGTATGGAAAATGTGGTAGCACCAAGGATGCTAGTCAGGCGTTTGAGAGCATGCACGGGCCGAATCTTTTCTCCTGGAACATCCTTCTTACGGCGTATGCCCATAATGGGCATATTTCCGATGCTAAGCGTGTGTTTTTGAGCATGCCGGTCTGGGACATTGTGTCGTGGACCGCAATATTGACGGCATTCTGCCAAAACGATCAATTGGACGAGGCGAAGATTATATTCGAGAGAATGCCAGAGTGGAACTCAGTATCCTGGAATTCTTTATTAGCTGCATATGCACTTAGTGGGCATCTTGAGGAATCTAAACAACTCTTTGACAATATGCCAGAGAAAAACGTCTTGTCGTGGAATCTCATGCTTCAGGCAAACGTCCAAGCAGGGAATGTCGAGGAGGTTCTGCTTTTGTTCCACGAGATGCCGCAGCACGACATTGTGACGTGGACAAGCATTGTAAGAGTATATGCCGTGACTGGGCATCTTGAAAAGTCTAAGCAGGCGTTTGATGTCATGCCCGAGAGAGATTCCTTCTCCTGGAACATGCTGATGACGGCATATTCTCAGCACGGCTATGTCAGTGAAGCTAAAGAGCTCTTTGATCAAATGCCAGAAAACGATGTCACTTCCTGGAATGTGATGATCACAGCCTACTTTCAAAACGGGGATACGGAAAAGGCCATGAAAACGTTTGAAGAATCTCCAGATGGTGATGTCTTCTCGTGGACCTGCATTGTTGCTGCACACGCCCAAAACGGGGACCTCGAGACGGCACAAGAGCTGTTCGAAAAAATGCCCCAAAGAAACATTGTATCCTTCAATGCCATGATCACCGCTTACGGCGAAAGCGGGCTCCCTGAAAAAGCTAAGGAGATGTTCAGCAGAATGCCGCAGAGAAACACTGTTTCTTGGAACGCTTTGTTGCAAGCTTATGCCCAAAGAGGCCATCTTGAAGAATCCTACGAAATTTTCACCGTCATACCAGAGCCCAACTCCATCTCATGGAACACGATGATCACAATGTATGGCGAGCGCGGTCATCTCGAACAAGCTAAAATATTCTTCGACAAAATGCCTTTTCACGACGTTGTCTCATGGAACGCTATGATCCAGGCATATGCCCAGAACGGTCAATGCAAGGACGCCATTCAGCTCTTCTTGACCATGTGTCAACGGGTCATTGACCTTGAGTCAACAACGTTTCCTATCGTTCTGGAGGCATGCGGGACGCTGGGGAGCGCCGCCGCTGGTCAGCACGTCCACGCGAGGGCCGTTGACTCCGGCCAGCAGTCAAACGTGGTCGTGGTCAGCGCCCTGGTCAACATGTATGGGCGGTGTGGCCACCTCGGGCGAGCCAGGCACGTCTTTGACACAATCCCGCACAGAAACACCATCTCCTGGAATGGGATGATCGCGGTTTACGCGCAAAACGGCCGAAACATGGAGGCTCTGGAGCTTCTCAAGACCATGGACGTGGAGGGCGTTGACACGAGCGAGATAACTTTCATCAGTGTTCTAGCTGCGTGTAGCCATGCCGGGCTGGTTGAGAAGAGCAAGAGCTACTTGAGATCCATGGGCTTTGATCGTGGGCTGGCGGCGGTGGTGGATCACTACGAGTGCCTGGTGGATGTTTTGGGGCGTGCTGGGAGGATTGGGGAGGCCGAGGAGCTCATCGCAAGCATGCCTTACACCCCTGGTGCCGTGGCTTGGACGAGCTTCTTAAACACTTGGAGAACAGGCGTCGATCACCGGCAAAAGTTTGGTTCTTCTGCGGCTGAGAGGGCGGCTTCGCTTGATCCAGACAATGCCGCTCCTTATTTGCTTCTTACAGATGCAATTGTGGGCTGATCAGTCCTTCTGTTTTGAGTTGGCATCACAGTAGCAATATATATAGCTCCAATCAGAGAAGATTCTCCTACCGTGATCTTGCACTAAAGGCTCGGTGTCGGTGGAAACTAAATACAAAGAGAAAGAGAAAGAAGGTAGTGCTTGGTCATAGTGAGCAATAGGCTTTATAGCTATGACCATTGTGTTGAATGACTTTGTCCATAGCGCCTAGCTGAGAAGCACTATGGGGAACCATAACTCTAGAAGCCATTGTCTCGATTAATCTAATTTACATTTTTGCATCCACTAGTCTCATGCTTCCAGTTGGGCGTCACAAGACTATCAAAACAGCATATAGGTAGATGGTAGATGGCTAAGCACTTATAAATCTATCCTTACATCATAAAGTCAAATGTTTAAACAGCACGTTAGACGTCATTCGAAGAACTTAGAAATGGTAAACGCTTAAAATTTAAAAGAAACTCTGGCGCGGCTTTGACTAGGCAATGTGCTTTGCCAGAAGTGAAGTTGATTGAAAGGTAAGAAATCAAGCAAAAAAAAAAAATTGAACTGATCAATAGAGCATTAAAGTCATATGTTTTCACGTTGGGGGTGAAATTTTGACAAAGTCCGGAAAGCCAGCCCGCCAGATGGAAAGTCTCTAGTCCAAATCGGGGGATCCGTCGATCCATGAAACGCGGGATTTCAAAGAATATAGCTAGAAAGCTCGCCACCGAAACGATATAAATCACTCGTCCAAGACATTAATAAAACGTTCTCATCCAATCCCATCACCATTTCTTTTCATCACCAATCCATCCGATAGAAAGGGAGACCATCCCTTTGTCTAGCTCTTGGGAGCATTCCATCGAGTAATCGAGAAGAATGCCGTCGTTAACGATCCACAGGCCAGCATTTCTAGCTGTTTTCCTCTCGATCATCGCGATTTCCTTGCAATTGGCAGCACCCTCCTCGATCTATCACGAGTTGGAGGCGAACCAATCCTGCCGATGCACGGCATTCAATAGCAGCTGCTGGCCCAGCGCCCAATCCTGGCAGGATTTCAATCGATCCATCGATGGCCGCCTCATCGCGCTCTCGCCCCCAGCCTCCCCCTGCCACGATCCCAACTTCAACGCGCAGGCCTGCAGGACCGCGCAGCAGCGATGGGGCTTTCCATTCTGGCGCGCCGATCAGCCTGGCGCGATGCAAGCCAGCAACTGGGAAGCCCTCGGCCGATTCACCTGCTTGATCAATTCGCCCAGGAACTCCACTTGCTTCCAGGGCTCTGTGGCCACCTACGCGGTGAATGCCACGGAGTCCCGCCACATCCAGGCCGCGATCGCGCTCGCCCAGGCCAGGAATCTCCGGATCGTGATCAAGAACACCGGCCACGACTACCTGGGGCGATCCACCGCCCCGGGAGCTCTCATGATCTGGACGCACAACTTGCGAGAGATCGTCTACCACGAGAAATTCGCGCCGATGGGCTGCACCATCCGGGCCGAGGATCCTCCGGCGATGACCATCGGGGCGGGGATCCAGTGGGAGGATCTCTACGCGGCGGCGTTCAATCGAAACCATGTCGTGGTGGGCGGTGGATCTTCCTCGGTGGGCGGCGCTGGCGGGAATCCCATGGGCGCCGGGCATGGCCCTCTCTCGCCGCTCCACGGTCTAGCCGCGGACAATGTTCTTGAGCTCAAGCTCGTCACTGCCGATGGGCGATTGATCGTCGCGAATCGCTGCCAGAACCGCGATCTCTACTGGGCTCTGCGCGGCGGCGGGGGTGGAACGTTTGGAGTCGTGGTCTCTCTCACCCATCGCCTCTATCCACCTCTCACGAACATCGTGTATGCGAGCTATAGCTTCGTGGCATCGTCCAGGAGAGCGTTCCGGGATCTCCTGGTGAGATTCACGGAGCTCCATCCATCGCTGGAGAGGGCCGGGTGGTCGGGCGTGTTCGCCATGAGCAATCTCACGGCTCTCAGCATGACCTATCTCCTGCCCAACAGGAATGTCTCCTTTGCCAACGCCACGCTCGCGCCGCTGGAGAGATTCGCGCAGTCCAGTGGATCATCGATCCAGCTGAACGCGAGCTTGCAGAATTTCCCCTCGTTCCAGCAGTGGCACCTCGTGATCCAGTGCGGCGGCGCGCCGGATTGCCGCGAGCTCAACTCCTCCACCACGCAATCGCTCGCCACCGCTGGAATCCTCTCTTGCTCGCCTCGCGGCTCATCCCAAGAGCCACGATCCAGTCCTCGCCAAACGCCACCGCCGACGCTTTCATCGCGATCCAGGACAGATTCCCGCTGGTGTCCATCACCGGGATCTTCGTCGCGGGTGGATCCGTGAGCCGCCCGAGGAACAACGCTGTGAATCCAGCCTGGAGGAGAGCGCTGTGGCATGTGATCCTCGGGATCAGCTGGATGGAACTGGGCGATCTGGAAGAGGAGCGCATCGCGGCCAGGAATGTCAGTGCCGCGAATCAATTCCTAGTGGATCTTACTCCAGGATCGGGGGCGTATGGGAACGAGGGGGATTTTAACGAGCCGCGGTGGCAGAGGACCTTCTTTGGGGCGAGCTATCCGCGATTGCTAGCGATCAAGCGGAGGGCTGATCCAGCGGGGATGTTTAGATGCCGGCACTGTGTGGGGAGTGAGATTTGGAGCGAGGATCTCAATTGCCCTGCTGGGATTGCCCAAGAGGATCAACCGCTTGTTTCGAGTTTCTAGCTCACCAGGGAATTCAGCAGCTAAACAGGCTTTTGGGGTTGTTTCGAGTCACTTCGGAATAAGAATTACAGCAGCAGAAAATCTAAGCTTTTCACTTCTTTGATTGGAATAGCGTCATTGTTGAAATAGCCCGAACCTAAATCTTAAAAACATGTGAATAAAGTGCGTGTCTGCTAAGCTTCAAGCCACAACGTAGAATTCTCACCACTAAATCTTACCACAACGGCCACCTCTTGGACTGTGTGGTTCCTATTGCCAATCATACAATTAGTAAAAGACAAGATGTAGATGTCCAATTTAGCCCATATATAGCTTTTTTTTGCACATCACCATGCCCAGACAAAAATGCAAGAGAGTGCCCCCACTAGATCAGGAGACGGTGAATCTCAGTTGTAACATGGAACATCTGAAGGCTGACTGGAAGCAAATTGAGCAGAATGAGAAAGTATAACATCATGATCTTTAGTGAGACATGGGAGAATCCAACAATACCCTAGGTACATTGCATACTCCACACCCCATATGCATCCAGATCCACTCAGTAAAGGACTTGGGGGGACTTGCATATGTGTCCAGTAAGCCATACACCTCTTGGATGTCATCCATGACCCTGCCATGAACTTCACTGCACTCAGGCTTTAGTTGAACACCAGCAAACAATTGGTCATGACTGGCTGCTACTTCTCATTGTCCACAATGGCAAACAATACTCACCCCTTTGACCATCTAGCCCAGACAATCAAACAGTGGCACACACAAGTCACAATTGTAATGCTTGGGGGTCAAGCCAGGCTCTTGCTGAGCAAGGAAGTGACTTGACCAAAGCACCAAACAACCTTTAACACACACACACCAAAGACAAGAAACTCCTCCAAAGTGGTGTTAAACTTCTCAACTTTCGTATGGCAATGCAGTTGCTCATTGTGAATGGCATTGAACCCTAGCCAACTACAGGGATGCATGATGTGGAATGGCAATGACTACATTCTCATCTCACAAGTTGCAATTGACACTGTGGTTGACTGCCACCTCCAGGACTTTCTTAATTCCAAGATTTCATGCCATTGCCCACTCAACATCTCACTAGTCCAAGACAGCACTAGAAGTCCACTTCACGTCTCCACTGCCCTGGGCCATGTCCACTCATAAGACATCCCGAAGTTTTAAGAAAAATTCCAAGAGTCCTAGCTACAAAACATGCCTACACTAGACCAACATGTAGTGGTCCAGACCTTGTCACAGCAGCCATAGACATTTTTGCCCTACACAAAGTCAAACATGCTACCAAGTTCCTAAAGGCTCATTGGTGGGATGCAGAATGCTTTATAGCACTTACCACCAAATGACAAGAGTTACATGTGTAGTAGACCTAGCCAAGGTGAGACACACTTTTTGATAACTCTACCAAAGGAAGAAAAGAATATATATCAAGCATATCAATGATGAACAAATCAAGGACCTCCACACTAATCCTGCCTAGGCACATAGGATCTTCTGCAAACCTTGAGTAATCACGATGTTGAGTGATGTTTGGGTGGCATACCTCCACAAGCTTTACAACACTACTACACCACCAATCTTGACATAGCAACACGAGAGGATGACCACCTTCTCTACAAAGGACATTGCCAATGCTATTTGCAAACTACCAAGACATGATGCACAAAAACTCATTGTAGAGATAGTGTTGCCCGTAGATAAAAATTTCCTGGAGGGAATTTTCAGCTAGCACTAGCTTCCTAACAACATGGATGATAAAACATGTAGTACTACTAGAACAAAGACAACCTGTCCAACTACAAATGCATCATGATTAGCAGTGTCTTTTCTAAGCTATATGCCTAAATGTTGGAAAAGTAGCTAACATGGTAGATAGAAACAACACATGTGCATGCATGGGGTTAGACTAGCTTTTACCCATATAAAAGCTATACAAACCACCTAATTATGTTTTGAATCCTAGTCGATCACTCCTATGCAAAAAGAGGCATTGATTGTAAGCAATCAAAGAAAATGATTCGAGAGACGATTCATAGGTTTCAAATATAAAGGAAAAGGGCCCATGAACAAAAATGCACCCCTTTTTTCAATCTTTTCGGATACTTGGGGTTAAACGTCTTTGGGTTTGAATAGTACTGGGATTCTAGGAAATCTAAATTTAGGAGCTTACATTTCTCTACTATTTTGTGGATTTTAAAAAGGCTTTTGACATTGTATTAAGACATTTGCTTTTCCAACAACTAAAAGAACTCAATCCACTAGCTGTCAATGCCATAAAGCATTTTTACACTTTTATTCAAGCCAAGCTCACTAGACAAGCAGTAGTCCCCTATGACACCAGTGTCAAGCAAGGATGCCCACTCTCCTTAACTCTACATAGATGTATTGGAAAGCCTTCTGATTGAGTGTGAGCTTTCCACTTGTAGTGCATGTAATTATGGGATGAGATTACCATGGATCGTTAGAATCTTGAGGAATAAATAGAGGTTCTCTCATCAAGCAATTACCCATTTTCTTATATGTGGTATTGGAGTAAATGGCACCAAGTTCAATTCTCATTGATTAATGGCTACTTAAAATATAATATATTTTTTAATAAAGTATATTCCTACTTCTAAAGAAACTTTGCTCCAGTGCGTGAGAAACGACCAGGTTTGGACAGGTTCCTTAAGGATATGTCCCAGGTTTTCGAGATTGTAGTCTTCAGTGCTTCGGGTGAGCCATATGTGAAGAAGACCATGAGTAGCTTAGATCCCACCGGGGAAATATTTTCTGCTGTGTTCACCGGAAATGACACGGATTGGTTGAGCGGCCAACCGGTGAAAGATTTGCGAAAACTGAAAAGGGATAGAATCATGTGGATCAATGACAACGCGAGCTTGTACCCCTACAATCCCAAGAATGGCATCCAAGTCCCACCCTTTCACGGTGATCCTAATGATTCTATCCTTGGGGCCTTGACTCCCCTTTTACTAGAGGTGGCATTGGGCCAAATCAGTGTTGAGAATGCAAGCGAACTATTTGTTCGTGCAAGAAATAAATAGAAATCCCCAGTGCTTAGGGTTCTTTATTCTTTCGAACGAGTCGGTGCCATAATGGATATTTGATCGCCAAGGTGATGTGCTTAAGCCCTCGGTACCTTTTCTTCTTCGATCTATTCGCTCCTCCAAGCAAGGTATAGCTCCATTGGTTCCAGCCCCGCTTGCTCCTTTTTGCATTGAAGATCTCTTGTTTGAACGCCACGGCATTCTCATGAACCGGTCTACGGTCCCTCGGGATTTGTTGGAGGGGGATGCCCAGGGTTTGTACGAAGGCATCGAGCGCTGCAAAGGTCTGGTTTTGCTTCTTTTTCTTGTCTCTCTTTTCTTATGCTTGTCTTGCAGAATTCAAGGGTGCTCCTCTTCCTGTGAAATCTGTTCGTCTTCTCGAGCTGCTGCTGCCTTTGGTGAGGCCAAGGTCGGCAGCAGAAGACGCAGTGGTCGTGATCACAAAGGCGCTTGGATGTCCTTGTTGCGAGTCCTGAGGACATTTGCAAGCTCCGTGCTCGTGGTGAGATCACGGATGCCTGCTTACTTGCTGTCGTTCTGATTGACAACGACAACCCAGAGTTCTTTACACAGGTTCGCGTTACCGTATGGTATGCTATTCTAGTGCTGACTGAAGTGCACCATGCAGGTTCTTGCCATGCTCGAGTGTTTCTCCTTCGTCTTGAGCCCTCCGTTGGTGTTGCGGCCACCTGTTCTCAGGTTTGTTTCATGCCTTGTTCTTGAAAGCTTGTATTCAGGCAGCTTCTTTTGTTGCTAGGTTCGTTAGGAAGACGGCAGTCTCATGGCTTACTCCAGCGACGCCTTCGTCTATGGCTGAAGTCTTCTTATCGTCTACTACGCCATTGATCAGCCTGGAGGAACACTCGTCAAAGAGAAACCTCTCCAAAAAATTCATACTCTACCTCATTATCGACATTGCGTGTTCGGAGAGAACTAAATTCGCTGGAATGTTGTCCCTGAAAAAAGCTGTAACCCTGACTCGTTTTTTCTCACGAAACAAACCTCAGCGAAGGATCTCTGAGATGAATGCTGAGAAGATTGGCCGTGATTTCCACCGCAATCGGGACACGTGCTCTTGCCTGCCATGCCGTAATCTGTGCAAATTCCAAGAATCTCGTCAAAGAAATGGACGAGAACAAGAGCGTACCCTGCCGATCGCGGCCGATATTCTCGATGAGAAATCCGAGAAGAGCGCAGATCTCACGCAATCTCATTCCTTCCAGCTGCCCCAGGCGCACATTCTTCTTCTCTTTCTTCTTCTTCTTCTTCATCGCCCGATAAACCCTAAACCCGGGGTTAGTAGATTCTAAGAACGTAGAAAAGAGTTTCACTTTGTCGCGACAGAGATTTGCTACTCATCAAAGCGTTAATAGCAGTGGCGAAAGAGCTAGTCTCACGCAAACCACGAAGATCAAATGGAATCTAGCGCAGGAACTGGAGAAGTTCGTGATAATCTGGAACAAGAACTACACAGTCCAAGTCAAGCTGAGAAAACGTAGCAGCCTGGCGTCAATTCCAATAGTTTGATTTTTTATTATTTCTTGTTTATATGATTTTATTATTTTCGTCCTTCCTTCCATACAGTTTATTTAAAAAGCTCCATCTAAGTGTTACAATAATAAGAAGACATTGCTAGTAGTGATGGCCAATGGGTTTGGCTTTGTTTGCATGCAAGAGCACAGCTCCTTTTAGTGGACAGTATTCCAATAGTGGCCTAATGATATGAATCTTGGAAGTGATGCCTCCACATGGAATTGTGGCCCTCAATAAGATCATCAAAAAGTTTGTTCCAGGACATTGCAGTGCTCCACCTCTGAACTGAAACTGAAAATGCCATCATATGTGACATACGTTAATCTCCATTATGGAGCTTCTGTAGGTTCGTATAAAAAATCACAAGGAAACACAGAAGAAAAGTAAGGAAAACTTCAGAAGCTCTATTAGCTACAGGAGCAATGGAAGTATGCGTGAGAAGCCCAGGAATCTATTCATGCTCACGAAACACCAGGTTGTGGAGGGCCTCATTGCAATCGAGCCTGAATTGCTTCATGGCTAGGTCCAGCAACACAGTAGACTCCCTGGACGATCAAAAGGCAGAAATGAAACACTGCAGAGGAGGAGCTCCTCAATCACAGCCGGAGTGGTGTGCGAGGCCACATTGGAGCGAATTGGACATTAATCCAAAGCTGCATTAGCAAGGATAAGTTGACTGGAAAGGTTAGTGCAACCCGTGACTAGAAGTCAACGGAGTCTGGAACCCTAGTGAAGTCACATGATAAATGATATCTCCTTTACTATATGTACTTTTGTGTAAAGAGGAAATACTAATGGCAAGGATCTTCCATGGGATGTGCAATACCAGGTGTCTATAGGGGATTGCTATGTGTTTTAGGGATATGTGTGGGTACTCTTGAGGTAGCTCACAGCATTTTAGTAGAGCAAGAAGGAAACACAATAGGTATTATTAGAGAGATAAAAGTGATAGAAGTACAAATAGCCATATTGGAATAAAAATATAAAGAAAAAAAGAGATTTAAAGGAGTATGAAAAGGCTTTAAAATCACATTTAGCATGATTTTTAATTATTTACTTAATCTTAGTACAAAAGCTAACAATCTATCAGTTTGTACTAATAATCTATCAGCATAAGAGCAAAACAATAGAGCAAAAAGGACCAAGAAGTAATAGGGAGAGAAAGAGAATGTGGATAAATGCAGGGGTATACTTGTTGAAAGCTCTTGCCTTCTCTTTGTTCAATATCTTCTCTTGATCTTGACTAATTGTTGGATTGGAAGTTGAAATTGAAACCAAGAGTGAAGAAGACCAAGATGAAGTCGGAGCTTGAAGATGATATAGAACATGGAGCATGGAGTGCAGAACATGGCATGTGGCATATGGAGTGTAGAGCATCAAAGCTCACAAACCCCTTGCATTTTGCATCCATCAGTTTTATGCTTCAAGTTGGGCACCACAATGCCATTAAAATAGCATAAAAATAGATACATAGACATCATGCCTTTGTGCTTTAAGTACATATCCACTATATGTTTATAATTAATGGAGGCAAAGTCCAGATGTTATATTCATGCATGAGGATTCAAACTCACACATGATGATTTATAAAAGTGCTCACCCTTAGTGGCTAGACGAAAACTTTAATTGCAAACTTGGATAGTGGTGGCAAATAAATACCAAAAGAGATGGCAAATACATAAACTCTTAGTGTCAAAAAAGCAGGCACACACTCGGCCCTATGCCTTGAGCGCTGTGAAATGCGAGCAAGGGCCGTAGGAGGAGGAGCATGATCGTGTTCTTGCTCTCTCCGACCAGGCCGAGAGCTTCCTCAAGCTGGGACGATATGAGCAGTGTGTGGATGCCGCAAGCACCGCTCTCGCCATGGATCCCCGCCACCTCAAGAGCCTTTACAGGAAAGCTTTGGCGCTGCTCAATCTCCAGTGCTACGAGTGGTCGTGCCAGCTCTTGAGCGACGTTCTTGGAGTGGACGAGGCAATCAATCATCTGCACGAGAGATGCCAGAAGCTTGCGATCAAGAGCCAGGACATCAGCAGCATCATGGCAGATATCCACGGCTTTTTTCGGGCCTGGAGCGAAGGAGAGAAAGCCCCACTTTTCCCAGAGGTTGCTGACAACGTTTGCCAAGTGGAAGTGAAGAAATGCGAGGACCAGAGCAAGCAACGAGGCCCGGGGCTCTTTGCAACGACCAACATCAAGAAAGGCGAGCTTGTCCTTACCAGCAACTCGGGGGCTTTCGAGCGAGGCAACATCTCGATATGCAACAGGAATGCCGCAATCGGATTCCTCGATATGGCCATGAAGTCGCCACGAGCATACAAGCAGATCCACAGCCTTGCTAGCAGGGCCGCAGGGAACGAGCGTGAAGTTCCAGCAATGGAGATCTTCCAGGCAGACTGGGCCACGCCGGAGAACTGGTCAAGCGTCAGCACCGACAGCAGCAGGGAAGCTCTCGAAGGCATTACGGTGGAGAGGATCTTCAAGACTGTGAGCGTAGCTTCCTTCAATCCCGCAGCCCCAGGTCCTGGCGAGAACACGCGGCGCCTGCTCTACGTACGTTTGCCAGAGGTTGTTTGGCACCACGGTTTGCTACTTTGCCACCCGAGACATCCAGGGCGGGGAGGAGCTTGGGCACTGCTACATCATCGCCGGCCATCCTTACAGGCGGACGAGGTTGGACTTCGAGTGCGCTTGCAAGAAGTGCGAGCTGGAGCGGCAGCTGGACGAGGATCTCGCGGAGGTGACGGGCTGCTACAGGGACTTGGCCGAGTCCAACTTCGAGTTCCGGTTGAAGGGAGAGACCGACATCACCGGGATGGTGGCGAAGCTGGAAAAAGCGTTGGCGACCAAGCTCCAGGAGGAGGAGGATCGGCAGTGCATGAGAGCGGTGCATTGGTCGCTTTATTTGTTTTACTACCAAAAGCTCAGGCGCGGAAACGTGGTGGCGCTGCCCGAGGGGATGGTTCTGGCGGGAGAGGTGATCATGGAGGCAATGCACAGGTTATCGGCGGGCAACCTTTGCAGCAAGTGGAGCCTTGAGATGATGGCGAAGTACGCACGGGACAAGGAAGCGGCGAGGAGGGTGATGGAGATGGAGTTGGAGGTGCAGTTTGGGAAGCAGGAGAATGCTTGCGTCGCCAAGGCCATCTACAAGAGAGGTATGGAACTCATTGCTCAGGGTCTAATGTGCTGATCAGTTCTTTGGTTTCTTCGTCTTCTTCTCTTTGTTTTTCTCCTTCTCCTTCTTCTCTCTCGTTCTTCTCTTCTCTTTCTTTTTGTTCGTCTACTTCTTTGTGCTTGTGCTTAGGTAATCCTTTGTTTGATCGTCTCAACTTGGTCTCGGTTTCGAAAATAATGTAAGTTTTAAAGGATATAAAGTTATGACAATAGTAAAGTATATAAAGCATTTGGCTCTGAAAGCTTAGAATGACTCTTCATTCTAGGAGAAAGATGTAGCTAGAGACATTTTTAGAGCCAATTAGTGAGAAGAGCTATGTTTGATGTGGACATGAACTCCATACTTAGAGTATTCTGGAGGTGGGGGTAGAGAAGATTGTCCAGGTTTTTTCAGATACTCCAAATGTTAATATATCTATTGGGACCAGGATAGAAGAAGAGTTTCCTACCATATTTTGGAATAGATGCATAGTTTATTATATGGATCTTTTGCTAGAAGACTTTTTTGGGAAGATAGATTTCATAGCTAGCATAGTTGAAAAAGCTCATAAGGTTGAGAAATTCATCAATAAACATGAGCATTACTCAAGAACTTTAGCAACAAGGTCATCTTCAAGCTAGTAGCTATCAACTTTGGAATAGATTTCTTGCTTATGAAGGGGCTAGGATTGATGGTAAATATCTCAAATTAAAGTAACTGGAAATCACAGTCTACAGAAAAAATTGAAGTTATAAACTTAATTTATGATAGGAGCTTCTGGAGGCTTAAGAGGTGACCATCTTTGTTATTTTGATGCTAGAATGACAAATCTGGAAGAAGTTTACCAGGGAATGGAGCAAGTTGTTGCTATATTCATACAATTTTAACTTGCACTTAAAGTGGTTTGGCAAAGGGAGAACCAATCACAGGATTGGGGAATTGCATTTATATCCAAATTCTACCCTAAGAAATTTTAAAATAGTAGAGGTCAATTTATATGAGCATGAGTGATCCAGATGCTAGACCTTATTTGAAAGGATGGATATTATTTGAGGCTGCTACCTAGATTCTGTAGATTATAGCATGAGAGAGAGAGGAAGAATATTCCACTCTCAAAATTATCCCTGATCCTTGTACAAAAAGCCGTGGATGAGTGAGGGCAAATATTAGAAGTTTGTGGACTCTTAGAGTTTATCTTGAGCATAAGTTGGCGACTACCCTATATCTTGAGCATAAGTTGTAAGATCCTCACAACTAGTTGGTACCATATAATTTATTGTCACGCTTGACAATTGCAGTAAATATAAAAATATAAAATTCATGAAATTATAATTTAAAAAATATTATTAAAATATCCAAGTATATTGTTAGATATTCCTTATTTGTTTGTGACATTAAATTACGCTAATGCCTCTAATGTAGTTTTATATTAATATAATGTCCAAATTTGATCAAGTTTTTCACACTGGAAATTAAATATTAAATTAGTTTAATGCCAACCTAAGACATTACTGTATGACTAAAAAATTTGGCTAAATCTCTTTATTAATCAAAGATGCAACAAGATAATATTTAATATAATATGTATATAGCTATGTTTAATATTAAACTCATAATATTCCCTTTTATGCTGTAATTTCTTCCTTTTTCAAGATGGTAGTGTTGGGCAGTTGATTAATAATTTTGAGTATACCTTTATTACTTTTGAAACTTGTTAGGAGGGAATTAGTTTTGAGCAAGATTCAAGATTTTAACTTTATGCCCTAAAGGCAGGATTTAGGGTTTACATTTGGCTATGGCAGATCAGCTGTGCTGCACGGCCATGAAGGTCCTGTTCTGGCCTTACGATTCAACTCCGACGGTAATTACTGCATCAGCTGCGGTCGCGATTGCGTCTTCTGCTTTTGGAATCCACAGAAGGGATTGTCTACAATGCACACACCCCAGAGGCTCGCGATGTGGCCGATCGTCAAGCCTTCTACTCAGACGTGAATCAAAAGATTTTTTTGAGATTTTTCATTAGCAATAGAATTTGAAAAAAGAAAAAAAGATAAAAAAGATAAAACTAGGGCTTCCACCTTTAGGGTAAAACGTGTATGAGTGGATCCACTGGGCTGTTACTGTCTTACAGCCGTTTCCATTCTCCGTGTTGGAGCTGGACGGCTTGCGGAGAGCTCTCTCACACATGCTACCATTGGCGCTGCCCCTTGGCTCTGCAACTTTCGCACAGCTCGCCGATGATGATGAGATCGCTGCTGCCGGCTTCGCTCCAAACAGCCCGGCGGAGAGCATCGTGTCTCTCACGACAGCGTTCTTGGGATCCAGCGCCGAGATGGACGAGTCCGGGAAGCTCCTCGAGTCTGCCTGGGACCAAGCCTTCTGCAACCTGTGGATGAAGCTGCACAAGCTTGCTGGGACAACGACTGTCGAGTTCAATCGCAGCATCGTGATGGACTCTTTGGATGGTAGCACTCGCGCCGATCCGATGCTGTGGACTGGAAACCGCCTGTGTGCCAAGTTCGAGGAGAGGCGGCAGTTCTTGCAGGATGCGCAAGAGAAGTTAGAGGAGAAGCTCGTCAACTTGGAGCCGCGGTTCTACGGCCCAGTGCCGTGGATCATCGGGGTGGCTCTGGCAGGCCAGGAGATGGCAGCGTGGGCGATGATACGGGGATCAAAGACGCCATCGCAAGTTCTTGTGGGGCCTTTGAAACTGACGTCGATGCGGGACAAGTTTACTTGCTTGCGCTTCTCCATCAATCTCCTCCGGCTTGCGCTCACGCTCAAGGACGTCGTCTCCTCCAACTTTGTGGATCGTCCAAGGCCGTTCCGGACGCTCCCGCCAGCGTTCTATGGAGCTGCGGACCAGATCGAGAGAACGCTCTGGCTCGACAATGGTATGGCGATCAAGGGGATCTGTCCCCGGACGCTGCATGTCAGTGAAGGATTCACGACAATGGAGTTTGTGAGGAAAGCTTACGGGCTCCAAGCAGAGGGTATAGTTCCTGGCGAGCCGATGCTCATGAGGGACAGGTACAGAGTGACCATGAAGGCCGTGGAGTGCGAGCCGCCTGTTTGTACCGAAGCGGAACTTCTCAGTGCTGTTCTATGGATTCTTCGCGGCCTGGAGAAGTTGCATGAAGCGGGGCTGGTCCATCGGGATGTGAGGTGGGAGAATGTTGCCAGGAGCGGTGGTGGCTACGTCTTGATCGACTTGGAGACTGTGTGGGAAGCTGGTGGCGAGCCCGAGTGTTCGCTTCTGGTTTGGGGTGAAGAGACGCTTGTAGGCGATAAGTACACGGAGCAATCTGATCTGTATCTTGTTGGTAAGATGATGTATGTTGTGGAAAAACTCTCCCCAGCAGCTCAAGAGTTCCAGTCCAGGCTACTGGGCTCTGAGTTTGCATCAGCCAGAACTGCTATTGAGAACCTCATTGCTCTTCAGAACTGAAGAGCTTGGAGGACGAATGTTCGTGTTTGTTTTTGGATGCCCCTGCTGGAAACACCGGCATGAAGTGAGAGATTTTACAATCTCTAGTTTAGCAAAGGAAGTTTTTTACTCAAAAATACTATTAAATCTTAGAGGAAAGTTATGGTTTAAGTCATTAGTGATTGAATCTGTATATTTTTATCACTATGGACCACTATGGCAACTAGGCCATAAAACAATATTTTATCAAAAAAATATATTTTGAAATTTTGCAAATAAATAAGAAAATTTAAGCTATGAATAACAATATAGCAAGTTGGACATATTTATGAACTAAACATATTTTAAAAGCTAGGACCCATAAATTTAAATAAAAAATTATAAAAATTATATTACATTTATTTAAAAAATAAAGATATTGTGGATTTATTACAAATTTGGTTGTTTAAGTATCAGATATTAGAATTTTTTAAAGTAACTAATTTTTACAACAAATTTTTAATTGATGTATTTCAATGTTCAACTAAAAGATATAAAAAAGAGATAATCATGCATATTTCTAAATAAAAAAATTAAATTAAATATTCATTTCTCTCTTTTAAATATAAGTATAATATGGAAATAATTAAGTAAAATTAGTTTAAAAGTTTATTAGTATATATATATTCTTATATTTATGTATTTTTATGGCTAAAGCTAAACTTCAATATCTACTTGGTGTTAATTGATGTGATGATAATTGAACAAAAACAGGAGTTGGTTTCAAAGATATAAACTTTGGCTAAGGAAAAATTGCTCTTTCTTTAATAAATTAAATAAATAAAATAAAATAAAACTTCTTTCAAACTCATACTCAAATTTGAATTTGGTTTCAATAATAAAACTAATTTCTTATATCATACAATGTGTTACTTTTTCTTGTGTCCCTATTTAGTGAAATTGTATTTTATTTTTATTTTTTTCTGTCATATGTGTATCATGAATTTTTATAAATGAAGGAGGAATATTTTTATATAGGTTACTAAACATAATTTTTATTGAAAATCTTGAATTTAATATTTAATTCTGAACCCTAATAAAAAAAATAAAAAAATAATAAAGATTAGACTTACTTGAGTGAATTAAAGTCTTAAAATTGGCAAAATAATAATATTTACTAAGCTGATATCGGTGTTTGTTTTCTATGGAATTACATCAAGGAATTTGCTAAAGAATAAACTAACAAATGTTTACTTTAACGGGCAGAGAAAATATGAAAGAACTAATTTATTAAATTAAATTAAAAACTCATGATGACTGATTTTTTCTTTATTGTTTATCTTAATTATAAATATGTATTATTTTATGTAAATTAAAATAAAAAATAATCCTAAAATATATAAATAATATAGTTTAACTTCTTATATATAATATTTTTCGTTGATATTTGATTATTAAAAAATTATAATCAATAAAATATTTAGTTAAAATATATAAATTTTAGCAAAATTTATAATAATAATAATATGATACTAGTTTTAGTGATATTATTTGCAATCATTTATAAATTATAAAGTAACTTTAAATGTATCAATTAATGTTTATACTTTTTTGTGATTCAATGGTAGTTTGATTAGGAATTTTATTTTGTCTATAGTCGCTTCATCTGAGGAGATAAAATGTATTTTCTTGTTCTCCTTTGTGATGTTCATTCGGAATAATGTTACTTTAAAGTTTGTTAAACTATTCACTTTATTTGGATTTAAAGTTTCATGTTTTTTCTCATCATTGTCACATATACATAATTGTGTATTTATTTAGTTTATAAATATAATTAATATTTTATTATCAAAATTTAAAAAAAAACTTTATATTTTATTATTTTTAATAAATATTTTCTAGAATAAACTTCAAATATACATAACTACATTGAAGTTGAAATTTTGTAATTTAACATGTTAAATGTAATTCACATTGCAAACTAAAATTTAAGTACTAAGTCAAATAATCACTTTATAAAACCATAATGCCAAAGATATTAATCTTCCTATAATATGAGTGACATTTAATTTTTATTGCATCTATTATAATATAAACCCATGCTAAGTAAAATAAATATAATCTACTAGTTTGATATTCTCAAAATAATAGAATTATACTTTCAATTTTGATATACTTTATTAATTCTTGGTTCAAATTTATTCTTGTTGATATAATGTAATCTGTTTTTCCTTAAACTTTTCTGAATGTAGATTAATAGTAGAAAAAATCTTTTTAGTTTATTGAGTAGTTTTGCTTCCATACTCAAGATTCGAGAGGAACACTCGCCCATTGTGATCTTTGGCAGCTCACTTGAGCAAAGACAAATCGCGAAAAAATACTTCTGTGCCACGGAATTATTCATATAGCAACATAAAACTCGATTGGAGGCTTTAGCCTATTTTCAGCGTCGATGATTCCTCCTTGGGTTCCGGTGAGGCGGAATGTAGGGCCCTGGAGCTGGAGCTGGCAAAAAAAAATTTGAAGGTAAAGTAGTTACTCTCCACGTACTTACCATCGATGAAGCCCAGTGGCGAACGGTCTTTGAAGCAATACAGTCGGTACTCGTACCCGAGTTTATCGAGCTGCCTCTTTACTCCGCGAGAGAGGAGAAGGCAAGCAGGACCAAGACCAAGATCGCGCATCATCTGGAAAACCGCATGGAAGGCGATGAGTTCAAGCAACAAATGTATTTGACCAACCTCTTTTTTCTTCCCGACGACGACAAACGCGTCCACAGGCTTGGAAACCTTTGCAGCTAAGTAGGCCGCCCGAGTCTGTTGTGTAAGTGCGTCATAGTTGTGCAGCAACTCATCGGAGGCAACGTAGAGGAAGAGATCGACGTGGGAGGGGGTCGAGCCTCTCGTAATGGGATATCGATCATCCCGTTTGAGAACCATCGCTGGCCGCTGCTCTCCGAGAATGTCGATGAGATCGCATTGAGCTCCTTCGGCGATGTGTACCAGGATGGTCTTCCCAGTGATGATAAACGGGCAAGGAAGTTCTAAGGTGGAAAGGAATATGGAAGGTTGAATAATCGGAAAGATTAGATTTACCTCTCTCGATCGAGACATGCTGGATCACAGTAAAGAGCGGGTCGATCATCCAATTCGGAACTAAACACGTAATAGGAAGTAAGAGGTCCTCATTCCGGCAAGAAAGAAAAGCTAGTATTACCGACAGAATGGAGGAGGAAGATCGTGGATGCCATTGAGCTGCAGAAAGCCGCTGGAAAGAATGTGATCGATCGATCAAAGACGCAATATTTCGGCATCATCAAGGAAGAATTCGAGAATACGTACCAAGCACTGCCATAGAAGCCCTGTCCGTGATGCTGGAGAGGAAATATGCCATCGCCAGGGTCTCCAAGGGGATTCCGACGCTCTCCCGCCAGGAAATCTTAATCTTGGTGTAGAGCAAGATCGCTGTGGAACAGAGAACGCCGAGAACGGGCAGGCCACACGGCATCGCCGCCAAGTCGCCGACCTGGAAGAGCGCCACGATCGTAGAGCTGATGATGAGGAGCGCGATCCCTAATGCCGCCAAACCGCCGAGCTTGGAGAAGAGCGCCATCGCCGCCATGCGCTATTCCTTCCCACAAAGTGTTAAGGGCAAACGCAATGGCGGGCTGTTCAAAATATAGAAACGAATCTTCGCAGTATATGCCACGTAGGGTTTAATCATTCCTTTTCCCCTTGCCTGGACGTTAAATTTATTTCCTAGGGCTCGTATTCTCAATGGCGGGAAGAGAGGCCCTAGCTAGCTAGGGCGCGCGGGAGCACGAACCGATCCATCCAGGTCTGCTAGGAATCCCCTGCTTGTGCGCCTGCCTCATTCATGTTCTTCCCAGTTCTAGCATCGGAGTAGTGCATTCTCGCGGTTTTGAGCTGTGTTCCTGTGATGCAGTCTCTCTCGATCGGGATAGGGCGCTCGCTTTTCTACCTTAGGCTGGGAATGGGGCGGACTCGCAGCGTTACCGAGTTTTTCCAGCCTCCCAAGAGGGTGAAGGTGGGATCGGAGGACCGAGCACAGGTTTTTCATACTGCTGCCGCTACCGTGGATGGAGAGGATGGGTCTGGATTCTCGTTTCGTCGTCTCAGCGATGAGGAACTCGCTCGAAAGTTTGACGATCAGAGTCCAGCTCCGAAGCACCAATCTTCCTACTCGTTCAAGACAGCTCTTTCAGTGGAAGAAAATGCCGAAGGAGAACAAGGTCCGAGCAAAGACGAGAAGATCCGAGTGGAAACTTCAGTGGAGGAGCGCACGGAAGTTTCAACGCTAAGCAAAGAGCAAAAGATGCGAGTGGACATGAACAAGTCCATGGCTCTGGCCAGGAGAAAGCTGCGATTGTGCGAGGAGGTCGTCCAAGCTTGTAAGTGTTTTCTTAGTTCTTTTTCTCGCGTGTGTGACTTTCGTGGTTTTTCGTTCTTCCTCCAGCGCAAGGAGAATTCCCCGACTTGGAGAAGCTTTTGGTGGAACCGAGCTGGGTGGAGGTCTTGCAGGACGAGTTCAAGAAGCCATACATGGAGAATCTCCAGACTTTTGTGAAGCAACAAGCGGCCGGAAAAGTTCCCGTTTATCCACCAGCGGCCAAAGTGTTCAATGCCTTCAACTCGTGCCCTTTCGATCGAGTGAAGGTTGTTCTTCTTGGTCAGGTATGCATTTGATTTCCTCTCCAACATTGTCCAAAAATATTTGTTTTTCTCCAGGATCCTTACCATGGTCCAGGCCAGGCCATGGGTTTATCATTCTCGGTTCCAGAAGGCATCAGAATTCCTTCCAGCCTGCTCAACATGTACAAAGAAATCCACAGCGACGTTGGTTGCCGGGTTCCGCTACACGGAAACCTTGAAAAGTGGGCATACCAGGGAGTTTTGCTGCTGAACACTGTTCTCACGGGTACGCAAGGAGATCTCTTGCTCGAATTCTTTTCTTTTCCGTTTCGCTTATTTCGTTTGGACTAGTTCGCGAGCAGCAGGCAAATTCTCATGCCAAGAAAGGCTGGGAGCCGTTCACTGACGCAGCCATCCGTGCCATTTCGAAAAGAAAGACCGGAGTTGTATTTCTGCTGTGGGGAAACTGCGCACAAGAGAAAATCCGGTGAGTGGAAAATTCTCGCCAGCATGTTTTGCATTCGATGTTGCTGAACATCCTTTCTTTCTTTGTTTGCAGTTTAATCAACCCAAACGAGCATCACGTCTTAAAGGCTGCTCATCCATCTGGCCTCTCCGCCCACAAAGGGTTCTTCGGCTGCAGGTTAAGAAACAAAAGTGGTATGAGGTTTTAAAGCTTTTTCTGTGTAGGCATTTCTCTAAAACGAACGAGCTGCTGGAATCGGCTAATATCCTTCCCATAAACTGGCAAGTCTAAACTGGAATCTCCTTAATAAACTTTAATTATTATTATTATTCGAACATGTTTTTGCTTATTTCTTGGTGGAATGGAAGTTGCACAGAGGGAGATTATGAATGTTCTAGAGTTTCTATTAGTTCACCTAGTTATCAACACTTAACATTAGCAAGTGACCACTTAGAGAGTGTGAGAGAAAAGCTATTAACAGGCACAAACTAGAAGAACTTGTCTCCTGCTTGTTAAATTCACCTAAAAGTCATAAAGGATTATTAGGTGCTTTTGCAAAATAAATAACAAAATTCAATCATTTTGCATTTAATTATTAAACAATTTGGATATTTGTCACAATACTTTGTAATTGACCATAACTTTATATCAGTCTCAGTATATATGCAAGCAATACCATTTCTTTTAATGATAAATTTGCAAAAACAAAAATATTCTTTATTATCAGATATCCATAATTTATGTTTTTCCCAACTTTGCAATTTAAATGAAAGAAAATCATATTCTTACCATTTTGAGAATATAAATGATCTTTTTGATCCAGAAAATAAAGCCATTGGATATATATTACAATTGTCTTTTGAATGATGAGTTAAGAAGTGAAAATAATTTATATTATAAGATCCTTTAAACTACCATTGATAAACTTAATAATAAAGTTCATATTTTCTAGAACTAATTTTATATAAATCACAATATGCTTCTAACATTGAATCAATATATATTCTTCTTAAATAGTAAAATCCTGATTTTAAAGTTTCATCTACTAAATTATTTGTATTACCACCTGAATTTTGTTCAATAACACAATTAGGAGGATTACTATTTATATGCTTAATAGTAACAAGAGCACAGCTAATCTCTTTTAGTAAGTTTTTATATTTAATAAGTTTTCATGATTATCTAGAGACTAACTATTGGGATTGGGGTGAAAGTCCAAAGTGTGCATTCTTCTATGTGAGGGGGAGGGGGAAGTTACATTATCTCTCAAGTGAGTTAGCCATGGCTAACCTATCTACTATCACTACTATATATTTGAAACCACTACTCCTAGCTTGTGTGTCTATCTTTATTCTACTTCTGGCTTGGATTTAAGCCTATGCTCCATACTATGTTAATTGGTGGAGTACTTATATCCCCTTGTTAAGCCACCGGTATATTATAATAGCATTAAACTCTATTTAGTTTTTATTGGGATGCTAGATACTCTAAGACTATTTCAATGTCACTCTGTACTTCTACTCTAATGCTCTTTAAATTGTACACTCAAGAGTAATTTTATGCTATAGTTCTTTCACTCCTTGACTGTAATTTGAGAGTTTAACTTTGTTCCTTCATTTAATGGCCCAAAGCTCTAAAATTTAGGTTTCGCTTCGCTATCTTTAGCTCATGTATGGTTTAGATTTCACTAGTTATCCTATAGTAAATCACCATAGGGTAAAAAGTAAAAGCCATATTTATTACACTTTTTTATTAATACAATGTTAAAGCTTGAGGAAGAAAGGAGTTATGATTGCAAGCTATTAAAGAAGTTCATTATGATGCTAAAGACAATGACTTGAAAAATTATCTATATAAGTTTAAATGGCCTACACTCCCTTTTCTAATTTATTAAGGTTTTGGGATACTTAAAGTGACCTTAAAGAAAATTTAAATTCTTACATTTGGTATTAAAGGGGTCTCCAAGTTTGAAGTTAGTTAAAAGAATCACACTATTGAGATTGATATTTAATGGTCTAATTTGGTTTAGCTATGCTTAATCCAAGGTCTAAAGTATCAAGAGAATGACATTCTTAGCTTTTATTCACAAAGGTGTGAACTTGTAAGGAAGTGTGGTAGATTATAAACAACTGAAAAGAATGATTTAAAAGATGATTTATAAGAGTTTAAATATAAAGAGAAAAAGTTTTTGAATAAAAATGCACCCCTTTTCTAATTAAAGACCTTGGGATATTTGGGGTTATGCATTCTTAAGTTTGAATAAATAACCTTATGGGAACTTCACATTCAAGAGCAAATGCTTCAAGGATATAATTAAAGAGATGTTGATTGTCTAGTTCTTCAAAAGTTTATTTTTTTGGACATTAAATAAAAATGAATACTATTTTGTTGATATGAACTCTTTTTTCTATATTTGCATCCCAATTTAGTTATTCTTAAAGACTAATACTAACATAGAAGGCAACATTAATTGGAGGGGATTTCTTTTTTGTGAAAGATTGTGTTATCATAACTCTTGACAATAATATGGAGGAATATATAAAAGTGAGAGAAATATTTAGCATGAAATCAAAGGGAAGTTTTATAATTACACAAAATATAGGACTTTTTATTGAACTTTTGAAGTCTATAACAAAATAGAGATAAAGATTGTGTCTCCAATTTTTATATGTGAAGAGAAGTATAACTTTCTAAAGCATATAATTCATATATAAAAAAATTTATAACTCTTTATTATGGTAGATCAAAAGGAAAACCTTGAAACCTTGAATTACAACATTGATTCTAAAACTTATTTTGGCATGAAATATCTTTATGGAGTAATTTTGAACTCAAATCTCAAGTACTAAAAATTGTAATTATTCAATACTTTTTCAACATTAAAACCTTCTACCAGCTTTATTATATTCAGCATAGTTTCAAAAATAAATTTTGTAGAAAAAACCTTGTAAGTTTGGTTTAAATTTGAATTTAATACATTTTATACTTCTTTTCAATGGCTTTCTCAAAAGCCCTAGAAAAATCTTTTGAATGAAGAAATAGTATGTAAAGTATATTACCTTGACTAACATACACTAATAATATCTAGTCATCAAAATGATTCCACTTGTATCTCTTGATTCATAGTTAGGTTTATTTTAATGAATTGCAAGAAAATAAAAATGTAATACTTATTAAAGTAGTTCAGCTTTAGAAAAGATATGTTCTTATAAATTTGTCTTTTCTAAATGACTCAATCTAGTAAAACATTTTGACTAAAATATTTATATATTTCAATATTTTAAAGTTCATCAAAACCTTCTTTTTTTCAACTTAAACTTCTTTTATAAAACTTTTAGTTGACTGTATTGACTTGAGTTGAGTTCAGCGCAACTTGTGAGCTCAATTTTGGACTATCCCCACACCTCTATAACTTTCAAAGTCTTTAATTCATCAATTATTTCTAAGCCATATAATTTTTTAGGATTCAAATATAAAGAAAAAGGGCTAATGAATAAGAATGCATCCCTTTTTTCAATCATTAAAGGTTTTGGGATACTTGAGGTTGAGCATCCTTAGATTTACTAAGTTAAATGACCTTTTGGGACAATATTACATTTGGTGTTTGACTTTTGTTACTCTAATTGGGATAAATCTAAAAGGTAGGGTGTCTAGAGAGTAAAGCTTTCAACATAAACTTATAAGAAAGTGTGGTAAATTGTAATAAACCAAAGAAAATAAAAGAGAGAATGTGTAATTGGTATTACTTAGATACTTTGTATGGCATAAAGAAACCTCATTACTATGACTGAAAAGGGACTTAATGAAGATTGAAAAAGGGATTTTGGGAAATAATATTCCCCTCTATGTTAGGGTATTATAAGAATGTTAAAAAGTGGTTATAAGATAACCATTCATAGAATTGATGGTTTAGTCTTAGAAAAATAAATCTATAAAGACCAATGAGACAATAAGAATAAATATAACCTTGATGTAAGAGATTGATATATCAATAATACTTTCAGATGCCTGAAATAAATACTAAGACCAAGTGTGAAATTAGTATGGGTTTGAGGGTTTGTAAACATGAATAAAACAATAAAAATGGACATAGCCTTAATATAAAAATTTGATATATCAGTAGTACCTTTGGATGCCTGAAGTAGGACTTAGGCATAAAGACCAAGTATGAAGTTAATATAGGTTTGAAGCCACTTTTGAGGTCTCAATAAGTACCCCAAGTTAGGATGAAAACTCATAAAGGTTGTGAGTAAAACTCTTCCAAGTGGTCAAATGAATGAATACAACATGCAAACAATGTACATATATGGGGTTTGTCAGGTTGAAATATCCATTTTCCTCTATCAAGTATAGTAGGTGTAGATAAAACCATTTAACTTTCTCATAAAGTTCCTTCTATAATTTTTTGATATACTAAATATCAAAAGTTAATGGAGAAGTTTACAAGGAAATATTCAAAGAGCACAAACCATATTATGGATTGAGCAACCTCAAATAAATGTTTGTCACTCACACCAGATTCTTTTAATATTGGGTTCTATACCATTGAATTCTTTTGCAAAATCAAATTGGACTTTGTATGGCCTCCCATAATTCTAGATTGTTATTGTATATGTGTAGAAAATTATTTCAACAATTTTCCTAGTTTCTTTGGTACCACTATCAATTATAGCATGGGTATAGATTTTCCATGGCTTAAGCTTATAATGGCCTACAAGACACAAAAATATATATATAAATATTGGAAAGATTCACTATTAGATATTAGATAGATGTGTTTATAGTCGTCATTAACCTATGAGAGCATGGGTTTTAAGTAGGAAGAGAAGGAAGTTGCCATTCAAAGAGCGATTGTTCCTACCATGGTTTTGTTCCCCATAAATGTTGGGAGGTCATGGGCATGGAAGTCTAGTGTGGGAAAGAAGAGTTATAGCCACATGTAAGCAGGGCAATTGTATATGATATGTGACAGGGTTTTTATTTCTATCTTACATAGAGGGCAGAGATGGGCATCTCTAGATGTGACTGGTGTCTATCTTCAGCCTAGTTTGATGTGAAGTGAGTGTATGCTTGTTTAATAATTTGAAAGGATGTCCTTGGTGGTATAGAGATGTTGGTGCCAATGATTCTCGTAGGGTTGATATTGTTGAGGTAGTCTTGGAAGCAGGACTTCTTGTTTGAGCCTGCCAACCAGTCTTTAAATGCAAGGTTAATCCATGCCAAGGGGATTGTAGTGACTGGTTGGTCTAGTAGTTCATTGAAGTTCAGGCTGAGGTATTCCATCCACTTTGGGCAATCCTTCCACCATCCCTAACTCTTTTTGGAGTCAAGCTGGAT